GTAGCACTAAAAATGGCGACAAAAAAGAATTGTTTTTTTGTTTTTGTTTCGTCAGCATTCTTTATTTCACGTTTCTTAGTTTCTAAATAATGATTTTTATTGAAACTTGAAATTTTTTGATAAAAATTGCTCTCAAAAAACTTTTTTCCAAAATTAAATTTCATAAAATTATGAGGTTTATGTATACTTTTTGTTCATTTTAATTTTTGAAGTATTATGATTCTTAAAACTATAGAATGTAAAGTTCGAATGGGCCTTTCAAGTTATATCATTAAATTTAATAAAACTATTTCTCGGACATTAGCTTTTAACTCTTATAAGAATATAAATGTTTTTTTTTTCCGTTAATGTACAAATATTTTTCCGATGCGTTTTGGATATTCCTTCTCTAATAAAAGGAGATACCATTTTGTTTTCATTTGCATAAGAAAGAATATCAAACATTTTTCTTTTTTAAATTTAATTAGACACAATAAAGAAGGAACGTTGTAATGCTACGTGCTACATTAACGAGGTCTCTAGAGTAACTGAATGACTGTTCATATAGAAATCGCAGGTATTAGTCTCATACAACAACGCCCCCTATAGTTCGTTGCGATCGCGAATTTACATATATACAACAATATCTAAAGACTGAAGCTAACCAGATTTTTTTTATCAAAGTGCTTATTTTTTTTATCTTAGTATCACTAGCTTTTTTTTTTAAATCCAAACAATATACTTAACGTTTTTAAGCTTCACATAATTAGATTCTACTCAATCTTGTTAATATTTATATGCATAAAAAATAACATATTTAAGAACACTAGCACTTTACTCTACAAACAAATTCGTTTAACACCTGTTTCATTTTCAATATAATCATTTTTAAACACTTTCTTAAATTAAACTTAACTGGTTCAATTTCAAAAACTTCAATACATTTTTATTTTATATTTCCACCTTAATTAAAGCTTTAATTCAAACTTTAATAGCAACTAATTTCTTTACGAGTTAGTTTTTAAAATAAATGAATCGTACATATGAATAAGGAAATAAGACTAATCTGTATCAATATCAATAGGAAAAATAAACATTATTTACATATTCCTCCCCATCAATTAACTTTTTTCTAATTCAAATCAAGAACTTAAAGATACTTTACTGAGACAATCTGCATTCTTGTTCTTAGTACCAGCTCTATGCACAATTTTAAAATTAAACGGTTACAGTGCTATAGCCCAACGCATAAGTCTGGCATTTGAACTAGCATTTGTTTTAAGCCAGGTTAGCGGGTGATGATCAGTCTGAATAGTAAACTTTTGTCCATCTAAATAGTGTCGTAATTTTTTGATGGCAAAAATTATACTGGCGCATTCTTTTTCCGTAGTACAATATTTTTTTTTCGGACTCATTAAACTTTTTACTCAGATATATTATGGGGTGTTCATGGCCTTCATTATCTAGTTGTGTTAATACCACACCCATACCAATTTCTGAAGCGGCTGTTTGCAAGATAAATTCTTTTTCATAGTTGGGAGAGAAGAATATAGGTTGGCTCGTTAATTTTTGTTTTAGTTTCTTGAAGGCTTCTTCGCATTCGATCGTCCAGGTAATTTCTCCCTTTTTTGTTTTGCCTTTTAAAGTGTCTGTTAATGGTGCAACTAGAACAGAGAACATTGGTATATATCGACTGTAATAGCCCGCTAGTCCCAAAAATGCTCTGATCTCAGTTTTGGTCTTATGTACAGGAAATTCGGCAACTGCTCGTGTTTTTATATCAGAGGGTTTTCTACAGCCTTGTCCGACAATATGTCCTAGATAAAGAACATGATCTTGCGCAAAACGGCATTTTGAAGGTTTCATTGTAAGTTCTGCGTCTTTGATACGCTGCAATACACAATTAAGATGTTCTAAATGAAGATCCCAGGTATCTGAGAAAATTGCTATATCATCAAGGTATAGCACTGCAAATTCTTCTAAACCCTTTAGTAGTCGTGCCATTAATTTGCTAAAAAATAGGTGGCATTCTTCAACCCAAATGGAAGTCGTAATGACCTATAAGTTCCGAAACTGGTAACAAAAGTAGCTAATCTTTCAGCGTTTGGACTAAGTTTAATTTGCCAATATCCCTTGGCGAAATCTAAAAGACTGATAAATTTCGCCTTGGCTACCTCTTCAACTCGGTCTTCTATGTTCGGAAGTGGGAAATATTGTGTTACAGTTATTTCGTTGAGACGACGGTAATCAATGCAGTGCCTTGGATCTTTATTTGGTGCTTCTACTAGGATCATAGGAGTAGTATAATCACTCTCACCTAAATCAATAATTTTTAAATCCACCATTTTCTGCACTTCAGTTTTTAAAATTTCTGTTTGTCGGGGTGACGTTCGGTAAGGCTTGGAAATAATTGGCTTATTTGTACTAAGTTAAATGTCATGCTCAATTAAGTTAGTTTTTCCTGGGTTATCTGAAAAACTTTTCGAATATCTTCTTAAAATATTCCTCAATTGGTTGATTTCATGTCCGTTAAGGCGATCTTCTAGGAAGGTGACTGTCTTTAATCATTTCAGATACATCGAATTCATCTGGAGAAATATACACTTATGGAAAGTCAATATCTTGTTCTGAAGATGAAGAATCGTTTTCTGCACAGGATAGAAAATTAATTATTGCAGGCCGTTTATAATATGGTTTAAGCATATTTACGTGATAAATCTGTGAGTTCTCTCTTTTTCCTGGAACATTCACTAAATAATTAGTTTCAGACATTTTGCTTTCTAACTTCCCCGGCCAATCCATTGAGCAGATAATTTATTAGCTCTAGATGTAGCCAAAACAAGAACCAAATCTCCGGCACTAAACTCTCTCCTAATACTATTTTTATCGTAATACGATTTCCTTTTTAACGCCGCATCTTCCATCTTGTTAACTGCAATTTCTTGGCATCTTTTTAAACGGTTTATTAGGTGAAAAACGTATTCCGTTGCAGGAGATTCGTCTATTTCGCTTTTGGTCCACTGTTCAAACAACAAAGTTTCAGGAGTACGCAAATTTTTTACGTGTACTAACTCTGGTGGCGAAAATCCTGTACTTTCATGTGTTATAGTACTCAAAGCCAAAAGGGCAAATGGTAAAAACTTCTCCCAGTCAGAACTAGACTCCAAACAAAGTACCCGTAAGATCCGTTTGATAGTTCTATGAAATCTATCTACGGGATTCGACTGTGGGTGATGAACGGAACTATGCCGAACCTTTATGCCAAATCGATCAAAAAACTCAGTTGTTAGCATGCTCATAAAAGAAGTTCCTTGATCGCATTGGACTTCTCGTGGGAAACCAGTTCTACAAAAAATATTAAGTAGTGCATCAGTCAGCGACACAGATCCTATATCATTCACTGGGATTACTTCTGGATATTTTGACGACATACGAATGACTGTAATCAAGTATCTTTTTCCACTTGGCGTGGTGGGAAGAGGACCAACTGCATCAACGTTTAGTTTTGAGAATATTTCCTGTATGACCGGTACAATTTTTAAAGGAGCCTTTTTTTATCATTTGGTTTCCCCGCTTTTTGACAACTATTGCAGGTTCGTACGAATTCTTCCATCTCTTTATAGCATTTTGACCAAAAATAATATCGCGCCACTCTATGTTTGGATTTGGTTACGCCAAGGTGTCCGGAAATACTTTCATGACATAACTTTAAAATTCGGCTTCTAAATTTCTCAGGTATAACTAAAAGTTTTTTTATTTCTCCTAATCGTCCTTCTTGGCACTTAAAAAGAAGTTTTCTTTCAACCAGATAGCGATGTTTACTGTTTTGATTTTGAATACCTTCTTCCACAGTTTTAAAAACTGATTTTAACTCGGCACTTTCCTGTTGAGCTTTAACGAATTCATCGTGATCTACCTGTATTAAAGAAAGTTCATCAGAGTTGGCATTTAGAGTTGGTAATATCTCTTCCATTTCTGAACTGACGGCATCCGTTTCTAAAACTGGCTCGTCATCTTTTTCATCTAAAATAATTTCTTGATTTTTATTATCTTGTTCGGAAGAGTTTTCGGTATCGTTCGAATTTTGTTGCTCATATTCTTCATTTTCTGCTTTTAAACGAGCTTGCGATCTGGTATTAACTGCATTTAACTCTGAAATTTGCATTGGCGTCATTTGCAGATTTGACAATCTAGCCGCTGTTCTATTGCCAAGGAGATATCGACCTTTATTCAACTCACTTCTAACCACAGCCGCTTTGGTTACAATGTCGCCAAACTGACCAGATATCGAAACTTTTGCTAATGGTAAACAAGTTGGGCCTTCATCTAATGGTTGTTGTATCCACACAGTTTCGCCCGTAAACATATCCGGAGTCACATATTTTCGGCATATGATATCAATAGTTGCACCTGAATCACGAAGAACTGGCATCCTAACTCCATTTACTTCAGCCATAAGAGTGTACGGAGTTAGTAATTTGTCTTCTTCGTGTCCTACTCCAATTCGATTAACTTGAGCGGGTGGCTTTTGGCACTTAAGCTTCGAGCACTGAGGTCGTAAGTGATTAGTAGATCCACATTCGTAACATTTTAAAGGCGTACGTCTATCAAATTGATCATAATTTGCTTGCTTGAACTCATATTTTCTTTTATTTTCGTCATTTCGGCCATTCTTTGAAGTAGCTCCCTGTGAATTTTTCCGTGTGGCATTTTCTTCTCGCCAATTGAATCTCCGATTTTCAGAATTTACCTGCAAGTCAATTCGTTTGCGACTTCCACGTACATTCTCGTACTCGTCAAGTATTTCTGCCAGCTTTGTAGATGAAGTTATTTTTGACCAAGTGTCTATAAAATGATCACGCACTTCATTGGGAACTCTTCGTTTAGATTGATCAGTAACCATTAGATCCAGCAAGGTTTCAAAATCTTTTACTTCCAATCCTTGAACCCATTCATTTAAATAGTTCCTTAATTCAAAAACGAAATCTTTCCAACTATTATCGAACTTCTTTTGGTGCTGAATAAATTTGTTTCTAAATTTTTCTGGACTTAGCTTAAGCCTCTTCATTAAAATTTCCGTAACATGATCATTGTTGTATGTTTGTTCTTTAGATTCTCTTGCTATTAATTTTGTTATGTCAGGTGAAGGAAAAGATAATAAATGAGTAACCCACTCTTCTTTTGGTATTTCTGCTCGTTTTGCTTGACGCTCAAAAATTACCAAATAAAAACTGATTTCATCTTCCTTTAGGATCAAAATTCTGCATTAACTTATGAATATCCGACTTATTCCGCAGAGTAGTACCAATATTTTGATTTGAAGGCTACTTAATTGGGCACTAAGCCTTAATTTCTCGAGTTCAAATTGGCGTTCTTCTTGTTTTTGCCGTTCTTGGCGTAGTTTTTCTTCCTCTTCTTCTTGGTGTTTTTTTTCTTCTTTTTCGATACAATTTTCTTTAATTGCTTCTAATATTTTCCATTTAATTGCTTCAAATTCCACACAAAACTAATTCTAAAAAATCAGCAACTTTCTGGTATTCTAATTTTATTGTCTGCTTTTATTATTTAAATTTATCTTTTTATGTGTTTATTTTATTTATGCTTTTGCCATCCCGTTAGTTTTCAATATTTTTACTTTTACTCATGCTTTTTCAAACCAATTATCTTTCTTATATTTTTAGACTTCATGCCCCTCTCAACGGCTCGAAGAGAGTGCCTGTGGACTAAGCGTGGTGGTGAAGCAATGACCATTTATTAATTTTCTAATACTGCGTAAATTTTGTTCTCGAAACTGCGAAGTGGAGAAAATCATATTTTTATCGGGCATCTGTAAATATGTGTATGGATGGTGCTTTCAGTAGAAGTGTAAACAATAACAATCTCGAGCTGTATGCCTGCTCTAGTTCCGGTTAGAAAGTTTGCAGCTGCTTACTACATGCTATTCTGCGAGGCGATATTTTCAAACGGATAATTTTGTTTTCAATAAAAGAAATAAATTAGATAATTTCTGAGCTCAAATCTGCCGTTTTTCATAAGATATTAATGTTATTATGTCATCTTATGTAAGTGTTAACACTTTTAGAATCGTAAACACAATTGTGTATTGTTTACTTTGTACACAATTTAAATATTGTTAACTTTGTAAACACAAGTAATAAGTAATCAAATACATTGTTTGCAAGAATCTCAAAACACAATGATGCCAAATGGCTTTAAAATACAACGAAAAAAGTAACCCGGAAATTTAGGCGATACTGAGCTTGCAACGTTTCCTAGTGTAGAAAACGCCATCCATATATTTTGAAACGATAGTAAATTTTTAAAAATAATTCACAATTTTTTATTCGAATGTTTTTTCGATATTTTAATGAAATGCAAACAATAACAAGCCTCCTAAAACCAGATGAAATATAGAAAATTTCGAATATATCTCTCGAGCAGATCTGCTTACGTTTTGTTTATGAAGCGATGTGTGATAACAGGCTTGATATTCTAGGAATATTTTACAGTGATTTGTGTTTAAATTTACGCATAATTTTACTATTTATAAGAGTTTTGTGCAATTTATAAATTCTAGAGGTTGTGAGTCGTTAATGAATTTGAGAAGATTAATATGAAAACTTCAATAAAGCGTATTGTCAGCGTTTTAGTGTTATCTTTTTTGACTATTTGCGTAACACCATTTTTTTTAATTCTTGGTAGCATCATTTAATGCTTGCGAAGTCCTCTAAATTCATTTGTTATTGTTTCGTTGTAAAGTAAATTAAAGAAAGCGCGATATTATAAATACTGCAAGATTAATAATATTGCATTGCACGCTTTTTTAAGCTTAGGTGTAAAAATTAATCAGAAGTAGATGTATAATTTATGAAAAATCAATTTTAGTTGAGACTGTCAATGATGTTAAAGGATCAAACAAACGTTTTTGTTTAATATCTACCAAAAGTCCATGTGCCTTATGAAAATCTGCGCCAATTATTGGCTTTGAGACGTCTGCTATGATGAAATTCCATTTGAAACGTCTTCTCAAGCCTAAATCTAAACTGATAAGTTGCTTGCCGTAAGTTTTGATTGAACTTGAATTTGCAGCATAAAGTTTAAAATCAGATGGGAACAGTTTATTGGGTTTTGGCGGTGGAATTACAGACACGTCAGCCCCAGTGTCAATAAGATAGTGCCTTTTGCTTGACTTGTCAAAAAGAAAGAGGCGGCAATTTGGATGGCCGTAGTCGTTGGCCTCTTCAATCGACTGGCCCGTTAGTTTTCCGAAGTATTTGTTCTGACTCCAGATCAGAAGGTTGCGTGTTCAGATCACGTCCGGGTCACCAGTTGTAAGGGAAGGTTTTCTATCTTCCTACTATGTGCGATTTTGGATAAATAAAAACGAAGTAAATTGGAGACATCACAACATTTAATATACACAGTTATTTACAAGTTAATATAAAATATATAAATCCATTAATACTTTTACATCCCAATGTCTGGAACGTCAATATAGTAATTATTATTATTGAGTTGTCTTAGCAACGTTGTTTTTATTTTTCATAAAACTAAATATAAATGCTTGTTATGTTATTGCTCTTGCGCACCACATAGATACCCGAAAGTCTTAGGAAGAATTTTAACTCCAGCGCCACCTGTGCTTAGCTTTTTATAGTTATCCTTTCATACTTATTAATTTGGTTACGTTACGTTAACACCCCTTTCAAGCTCTAAACACGGCCGGTGTTGAATTTTCAAGGAGAGTAACAAATTATTTGGAATTTAATTATTTCAGTTAAAAATGTAAGTATGAGTAGAAGTGCTTTATTTTAATTTCTAACCATTTTCTACTGTTATTTGTTTAACTGCGAAATTAACGTAATGGATTTCTAACCAAAACAAAGATCATTTGACATAAGACGATGTGATAAATAAGGAAAGTTTAATGGGTAAAATGGTAAATGATCAAAGGTTACTAAGATCAATAACATTCGATTGTTCAGAACAAAATACTTTAAGTAAATCTGTCAATTATTAGCTTTTTTTCTGCTGTCTAACCTAGGTATATTTATTATTTTCAATATCTTGACAAAAGCTAATCAAATTAAGATCTTCTGGCCTAATTTTTAATCCGTTATTTTAATCTATTTTTCCTCATATCTGGAATTCCTTATTTAAATTTCCTTTTAGTAGAAAATTGTTTTAAGTCTTCATTTTTTTTTTCTATCTATTGCTCTGATATAGTTTATTAAATAATTGCTGTAATTCGAAATATATTAATTAAATTGAATCTCTATATTTTCTGATTAAACAATTATTATTTGTTCTTTTTTTAGGTAAATGACTATCTTAGAACCTCAAATGAAATCGTTCAACATGGTTACACCTTTAATGGACTTAAAGTAAGATTTAAGACGTAAATTTTAAATTGTGTGGTTGTTAGTAAAACTTTTTCATAATTTTTTATCGCAATTTATTAAACGCATTGTCAAATACTTTTTAAGTTTTGATGTTGTGTGATTAAAAAATTTATATTGATATTATTACTTATCTATATGTTCCCATTTATACTCTGTACAGAATGAAAGCTAGTAAAATATTAATGCAAACGCACTCTTATATATTTTAACACATTCTAACATATTATGCTATTAATTTAAATAACATATTCAGTGAAAAATTTGTACATGTGAGTTGCATAACAAATTTATTAGAATTATGCATTATAATGAACACTCACTCTACAGGTATAAAATAAGAAAATTTAATTATTGATTTATATGGGACCAGTAACTAAAAGATATAACTAATCTGAAAATTTTCACTGATCAGTTTATATATATTAATCTAACTTTTTTTTTTTTTAAGTACTTCTGTAGAATAGTTTTTTAGAATAGTTAGTTAGAAAAAATAGTTTTTTAAGAAAAAAATTAGTTCAGCAAAACAGCAATACAAAGTGTGTGAACACATTTATGACAAAATATGCTATTATGTTAATATAGCACAGATCAGAGAATAAAACATAAAATTAAAAAAACCAAAACAACATGTCATTCTTTTATATTGATTGCTGGTCCGGGGGACAACTAATAATTATTTTATGGTAATCTGAGTCTAATTTTAGTAGTCCCAGACCAACAAACTATCATTCAGTTTGACTGCTTTTATGTACAGGGATGAGATTTTTCCGCTTTTTAGCGGATTTCCGCTATTTTCACTTTCATCTCTTGAATTTCAGCTTTTTTATCAAAAATTCAGATTTTCTAAAAATTTCACTTTTTTTTATAAGTATTCCATTTTTTCAGAAAATTCACCGATTTTCAAAGAGAAACAGAAAATTCAAACTACATAGCTACCAATCCTTTCTCATTTTTACTTATTTTAGCTATTTTCTCCCCTTTTACAGGCAGCAGATAAGATTTTCCGAATTTTTTACCCACCCTCCAGTTAGATCTGATTTTCGTAGTTCAAACGACGCTGCTTCTGACAAGCCTTTTAGAGGTCCCAAGCCTGGAATCTGCTAATATCTCTATTCTTATTCCCACGATTTTAATATCAAACATAGCTTTTCATATTTGCGCGATTTGAATATTGTACATTGCGATTTTTATTTACGAAATTTAAAAATTAGTTATGTTATTCGTATTTGCACCTTCTTAAAAACCTATGTAGAGATTCGTATTCACGCAAGTTTAAAATTTAATGTCCTGATTTGCTCATGCGGCTTATAATATCAAACATTGATTTTCGTATTTATACGTGATTTTAAAATAAGGCATTGGGATTCGCATTCACGCATTCTGAAAATTATGCATCATAATTCTTATTTATGCAATCTAAAAATTACGCATCATGATTCGTATTTACGCGATCTAAAAATTATGAATCGTGATTTGTATTTACGCGTTTTAAAAATTCTATATCCCAGTTTGTATTTTCTCATTTTCAAAATCGTATATCTAGTTTCATATTCATGTGATTTCAAAATCCATAATTGTTATTCATATTCACGCAATTTTAAGATCAACTATCGCGATTCTTGTAAGAAGTAATTTTTTTTTAAATTAGTTACTATAAAGGTGACTGTTTTTCTAACGACGATTATTAGTATATGTAAGTGTTACAACATCAGAGAAACTGGAAGGGAATATATTCAAAACTTACATTCTGTGCTTGCAAAGAAGAAAAAATAGGATTTGTCACAAGATGTTTGAAGATGGACTAACGACTAAATATAGCAAACATAAAAGATATAGCAAACAAAAGCAATCACTTAAAAAGGGATTTAATTTAATTTTTTTTTTTGGAAAAAGAGTTAATTAACTCATCATCAAAATTTTATTTATAATTGCTGTTATTTATGCTATAAAATGCAAAATTCTTATCAAATAAAAAACAATTATCTAAACAGTTGCTGATTGTCATGTAATTTTTCAAACTAAAATAGCAATTTTTGTATGTTAAGGAGTTACTATATATTTCTACTTCACTGTTATTGATATGTTTCAGAGGGCTCTAGTTAGATTAGACTATAATATGAACATAATGATTCGGTCCATTGTTAAAGTTTTTTTTCCCAATATAATTTAAAAAGTAATATTACTGATATATTTGCTATAAATCACATAACAATATTTATTTAAAGAAATGAAATATTAATGTATATTCTCAGTAGTTTTAATTTGCTAAACCAGGTAGTTTTTCAAGTAATAATTGTCTCTTATGTGAACTGAGGAAAAATATAATTTCCAGCTTTATTTTTTCAATTGATAATTTATTTTCTCACTAAATGTTAAGTATCAATGTAATCATTTATATAATAATAGATTAGTACACAATTGTATGTCAACACATTATTTATTACCTTAAAACTGTCTGGAATTTATTATTAAAGGTTTGCGCTTGCGCAAAATTTACTATCGTGGAAATTCAGCTTTTTTGCCTTTTGCCTAATCTCATCCCTGATTATAGGGTGCTTGCTGTCATTTGCTTGCTGTCATAATGTGTTAACAATTGTATGTCAACACATTATTTATTACCTTAAAACTGTCTGGAATTTATTATTAAAGGTTTGCGCTTGCGCAAAATTTACTATCGTGGAAATTCAGCTTTTTTGCCTTTTGCCTAATCTCATCCCTGATTATAGGGTGCTTGCTGTCATTTGCTTGCTGTCATAATGTGTTAACAATTGTATGTCAACACATTATTTATTACCTTAAAACTGTCTGGAATTTATTATTAAAGGTTTGCGCTTGCGCAAAATTTACTATCGTGGAAATTCAGCTTTTTTGCCTTTTGCCTAATCTCATCCCTGATTATAGGGTGCTTGCTGTCATTTGCTTGCTGTCATAATGTGTTAACAATTGTATGTCAACACATTATTTATTACCTTAAAACTGTCTGGAATTTATTATTAAAGGTTTGCGCTTGCGCAAAATTTACTATCGTGGAAATTCAGCTTTTTTGCCTTTTGCCTAATCTCATCCCTGTATGTAGAAAATTTTAGTAAGCAATTGACCATTACATCAAGGTTGCGCCATAGTTTATCCATTGCACGACAGATTGCCATATGTTCAATTTTTCTTCACCCCATATCATCTATAAATGTATTAAAGTTGTTGACCTGGATTTTTGAAAAAGCTACTACATCATCAAAAACTTTATTGTTAGTGACTTTACTGTTGTACCATATATGCCTAATATTTTGAAATCATTAATTTTTCACTCTTCGAACCATTTTCTCTTTATTATGACATAATCTCTCAAATTTTCATCATCTTTGTTTTTACCATATGGTTAAAACAGAGACCTTTATCAGTAGGTCAAAATACAGAAATATACCTGTATTTTGTCCTACTGATGAAAGTGTGCCATTGGGACACAAAGTGTGTATAGATTTCTAATAAAAATTTTAACCTTTTGTGATTTTATAAGTGTGTATTAAAATTTAATTTAATCAAAAAAAATTGCGTTCCTAATTGCATAATAATTAATTGTTCATGCTGTTTTCACTATGTAAAGATTTATGTCATCATTTTTTACTTTGCTGCTTTCCTGAAAATCTTGCCTTTCTCATTTTTCTGTATTCTGCATGTATTTTTAAACGTTTTGATCAAAGCTTCCTTAAATAATATAGCTTATGTAAATATATAAGGTAATGCTATTTCACTCAAAAGTAAGATTCAAATTATGTTCCCTTTTAGTAACCTGCATTTTGAAAAAATTATGGCATTTTATACTATTTTTATGACCTAAGATCACGATTATGTGGTTTTTCTGTCATCAACAAAATTTCGTTTAAATATGTGTATAACCAACTAATTTTAAATATAGTACAAAATAATGCTTTGAGTTAAAGAACTTGTAAATGATGTCTTGTAAAGTGAGAAAAAGGAAGAATGTGTAATTTTTCCCTATGTATACATTCTTTTAAGTGTTGATAAGGAAAAATTTATTAGGGAAAAAAAAAAAAATTCTTCCTTTCTTCACATTTTATAAATGTTACTTTTGTTCATAAAAACACATCATTTATTTATTTTCTATGTACAAATATATACGTACAAAAGTAAGTACTAAAAAAAAGAGAGAAAAAAAATTTCAGATAATTTCTTCTTCCAGCGATCACATGTCTGATGTAGCCATATTTGTGATCTTTAAAAATGCTACCTAATAAGGAAGAATAATTTTTTTTTTTTTTTTTTTGTCTACAATGAAAGTGATTTCTTTATACTTTGATCATACCTCATCAATTTCTCTAGTTTAATGCAAAGGAAATCTGGAAATCTACAGAGTTACTCTATATTATTTGGCATGATCCCTGTGGCAGAATTTTTTCTGGCTTTCTGCGACAAACCTAACTAGAACCAATATCTTTCTGCAAGATATTTTTATCGTTATAAATGTATGTGTAATGAATTTATAATAATAGATGAAATTCGTGTTTATAAAATAAGTCTACATGCATAGAATAAAACTGTGTAGATTTTTTTTTCAATTTCATAATATAAGTTTACATTTCTTAATAAGTTTAAATTGTTTAAGTATAAATTTGCATAATCTTCGATAATAACGAAAAGTTATAAATGTATAGATCNTGGTGCAGAATTAATCTGTAATGCAATAGGATTTGCATACCCAGCTTATGTTTCGTAAGTATAAGCTGTTTTTTGGTGTATTTTATCTCTTTCTGAATGTGTCATGTCAGTTGTTTTAACTATAATTTGAAAGCAGAAACTAAATATTAATTTTTATCCATTAAATATTTTAAATGCGCAGATTTGTTAAATATCTATTAATATTTTATAAGTTATTATATTTTGAACAAATCAGAAATATTTTACTTGCTTGTAATTTTTTGGAAGAAAATTAAGGAACATTGAATAAAGTCACACAAGTTTTGTAAGCATTATTCTGGACCTTTTTTTTTTTAAAGATAAAAATTAAATTAAAAATAACTCCTTGGTTGAATTCACAAATTTTATGAATTAGTTTTAAAATGAGCATAATTCTAGATTTTTGAAAAAAAAATTCTCAAAATTAGAAATCTTGAAATTTTAGAAATCTTGAACAAGACTGACCCGAAGACGGGAATCGGAATTTTTTTTTTTCTGTCTTTAAAAATATTTTCTAGGTCTACTCTCTACTACTTAAAAATATTTTTTAGGTCTACGTTATTGGTCTACTTTCTTATGTCCTGTTGTTATTTTATCAAAAGAGAGATGAATAAATATTTTTTGTACAGTATTTAAACTTGATGTATTATGGTAAAGCTTTCTTAGATATTTTGCATATGCCGAGGGGGTATTGTGTATGTTAGGTATTTCAGTCAAAAAATTTTCAGTCTTGACCTTTTTTCCAACTTGCACCCATGAATCACCTTGAATCAAACGTCTTGCGCATCCTTTAAAAATATCAGAATTGGGAGAATCATGTGAATAGGACCAATAAAATAGTATAAGCAACTGCTGAAATAAAAAGTAACTGCCGAAAAACCTAAAAAAAATGGCATGGAATTGTGATAGAATCGTCACAAATCGAACCTATCAAATAGTGATTACACAAATTCGAAATTTGCATGTGGTGACAACATTGTATTAAAAATATCAAATTTGTAAATGCTTGTGAACAGAAAAAAATGACAGCTTTCGGAAATATTATCATTAAACAATGTGAAGTTACGATGAAATCTTCATAAATCAAGCACATTAAATAATGATAACTGAAATATCTTATTAAAATATCAAATTTGAAAAACCATGGGAAAAGGGCCGATAGAATGATGAATAACTGAGGAAAAAGATGAGAAGTTTTGATCGAATCAATACGAATCGAACGCAGTAAGAGGTGATAAATCAAATTTGAATAATCTTTCTGCAAGAACTCAGTCCCTTTCTGCGACAATGTCGCTGTGTCGCCGTGTTTCTGCCACGGGGGGCATGATAATGTGGATAGATATCATTTTCTTCTTTATAAATAGCAGAAGAAGGAAATTCGAACTCTGTATATCAAATTACTTTGTTTCTCCTTGATACGTTTAATCCATCCTAAAAGAGAGCCTTTATTGTTCAAATATCTTATTTTAAAATATTTTGTTTCATTTATTAATAGTTAAATTTTCTGAAAATGAATTTTAATATCTGGAGGAAGAAGTAGTGAATTTATTTTTTAAATAGGGATCTAGAAATTTGAAGGCCCTGGGTCCAAAGAGCCCATTATTTCCAAAGTCTAGCGGAATCACTGTGTGTCAATATTACTTGATAATTAATCTATCTTAATTGGTCTGGTATTAAAATAAGTCTGATGAACAAATATTGTAAAGTCATTTACAGAAGTTTCTTGATTAAAAAAATTTTTTGCACCCTAATTAAAAGTTTTTTATTTGTTTCTTTTTAGGATATATTTATTAACTTGGAATGTTGTCAGTCGACCACCAATTGAGGATCTAAGAAATGTTTTGGGACTTGAAGAACCAGTAGATGTTTCCAATCTTCCAGATTTCTTTGGACTTGGGTATTGCATTTTAATTTCTTCACATTATCTTTTCCAATCTTTAGTGTGTATTAATTCCTTGTTTTTAAATTAATTGGTATTCATTATTGAAATTAAAGTTTACTTCTTTAAATGAATATCATTAATTTTGCAACAGGATCATTTTATAGTTTCTTCTATCAGTGTGTGAACAGTTAGGATTTCTGGGCATATTTTGTTACAAATAGTTTTGTTTACTATTACTATGATGATGATAGTATTACTATGTTGATGATAGTTTTAAAAGACTACTATTATTTGTCTGTTCAATATGCCTTAATTTACTTTTTTTTTTTCTTTTAAATGTGTATAAATAATGTTTTTTTAATTATTGAGCTGTTAGGAAATATTTTGCAATGCTTTTACTTAATTCTAACTTGTATTAAACTAGTAGAATAGTACTAATTGTTTATCGAAAATATAATACGTACTACATTAATTCTTCACTTTATCATATTTTAAATTATCTTATTTTTAGTTTTTAGAAACAGAGTTATGTTTTATCAAAAAAAAAAAAAAAAATTAACGAATAAATAAAAAAAATTATAAAGCTTTTACTTCTAATATCAACAACTTAATTAGTTTGTAATTATTTCTACAAAGATTTCAGTTTAAAACATTATAATCCGGAATTGTTTCTTTAAAAGTGCAATTATTTATTGTATGTTATTTAAAATTAATTTACCTCTCTGACTTCTTTTAGCCTTCAAGAAGTAAGCTGCAAGCCTCAAGATATGATTGCAGAGATTATTGTTGAAGATCCCTGGATGATTGGTTTTAGAGAAATATTACATAAGTGGGACTATGTTAAGGTACTATTAGTATTTGTTATTCAAATATTAATAAGGCTAATGCATTTACAAGGCTGTTAAGACTGAATAATTAATATTTTTTCAATGTTAGCTAACTATTTTTTTTTATTTGTGTTTATAATTAGGTTTTTATCTATTTTTTAATTTGTAAGAGAAAAATATTTTGAATCTGCATGTTGAAGAAAAATTGCCCTACATATTTTGTATAGTTTTAGTTTTTTAAGAGTGATACTTTTTTGGTAAAACAGCAAAAATTAGATATTGAAAAATTTAAAAACAAAATTAAATATTAATTTTATTATTATATGAAGAGTAGTGTTTTCCTTAACTTAAAATGGTCTACCTTTTCCATAGTCTAAAAGTTTGCTTTATTGTGTTCTAGAGGGTAGGGTAGGATTTTAAATGTATACAATTATATGTATGGCATCAGAAAAAGACTTTTCTGAGTAATCATTTGTTTTATATGCTTCAATTAGTATTATATCAAAATCATTTTAAAAATAAGCAAATGTGAATGCTGTATTTATATTTTGAACCTTTAAAATAAAAGATTTTTTATGGAATTTGTTTATATTTTTAGCATTGTATTCATAAGTTAATTAATCTTGTTCAAACTCAACATGATTCTTTTGACAGGTATGTTTTAAATATTTTTAATTTTTTCGAAAAAGGGATTGCATATAAAGTTATATTGCTAAAAAGGATATATTGTCTTGTTTTTTTTTGTTGTTTTTTTTTTTTGGCATGATTTGTTAACTCTAAGCAGCAAATGTTATAAAAAAATTTGTTACTTATTTCCCTCTTAATTTACTTTTTGTAATTATATGAAGTAATTTGTAATACGTTGTAGTTTGTACTACCTTTAATGATATGTTTATATGCAAACACTTATATTTTATGTTTATTCTTTCTTTTTCAGTTGAAACAGATTCGTCTTTTGGGAATTTCATTGTATCTTTTTAGCAAACGAGAGCATATAACACATATAAGAGGTTTACAGACTAATTACACAAGGACAGGTTTAATGGGGATGTGGGTAAGAAACTTTGTTTTCTTCATTCTTTGCACATAAAAATTTATATTTTATGTGAAATTTTTAAAATCATTATCAATCAGTTATTGATAGCATGCTTTATTCACACTTTCTAAAATAATGCTGTAATAAATACAGATATAATTTATGAAAAATCTTATATAAGAATTGAGAAAAGTTTTTTTTATTTTTTTATTCTGTTCCTCTTATACCATACCAATAAGTAATATTTCAGTTTACATTAATATCAACATAGGATTGTAGTTTATGCTTATGCAGTGTGATCTGTACAATTCTGCTAATCTCATCATTAAAGAGTGCAATTTTTCTATCAAAAAAAGACTAATGTAGATGTAAGGGCACTCATGAATTGTTGAGAAATTATATGCTGCATAAATCTATTTCAGTAACCATTTGACTTGTGGTTAATATTCCACTTTTTGTTCTATTTTCTGTCATTTCTTCTACCTTCTTTCCTTCAAAGTCAGTTCAAAGTTCTTTCCTTCTTTCCGACAGATTTAAATGCCAAATTTTTAAATGTCCTTGTTTGAAATAACTAATTAAAAATGCACATGCTAATATGTATTTCTTTTTAACTAGTTGAATAGGTAATCTTTATTGTTGACAAGGAAACATCTTTACTGTTTTTCAAATGTCCTTATTCCTATGTTGAGAAGATGCAATACACATTCTTATGAAATTGAACTTTTTTTTTAAATAAATTTAATATTTTAAAGAAAGATTAAAAATTTTATTTTGAGATTTTGTCTGTGTGAAACTATAGAGACAGATTTATTTTCACAAGTAAGGCCAAAGTATTTTATTATAGAATTTTATTGATATTTTTTTTTTCTTTGATTAAATTTTTTTTAATGTTATTCCACTGCCACAATTTTTTGCCCCATTATTATTTTTTTTTTTAACTTTGCAGATTAAACATTATTTGCTTTTTGAAAATTATATTTTATGTGTTTTAAATATTCATTACTCTTTAGGGCAATAAAGGTGGTGTCAGTATTAGATTTTCAATTCATGGTTGTTCTATTTGCATTGTTAATTGCCATTTAGCTGCTCATGATACAGAACTCAAGCAAAGAATCATTGTAAGTAAAATAACCTTTATTTCCTCTACTTAAATGAAGTTATTTCGTATTTTCAAAACATATTATAACTATAACAATTCTCTACTTGTATTATATATATTTGTTACTTTTTCTTCTCCTTGAAGTTTTTGTATTTGTTCTAAAATGATGATAAATTTATGTTTTCCCATTTTGTAATTGATTTTAAACTTCTTGATAGGACTTAGCTCAAAGTCAGTTTAAATAAAAAAATTTAAAGGTGATATCAAAGTAGAAACTCAGCAATTATATTTAAATTTCTTTACCGTAAAATACTGATTAAGCCCCCATCCAAATTTCTGCCGAGTGGGGAATAAACAATGGCTAGGTGATAGTAAGTGGAGATGTTACTCAGTTTAATTAAGTATAAAACAAATGAAAGTGAAATTAAATAATTAGAATAAACAAATTGTATTTTAAACAAATTTCACCTTTATTCTTTTTCAAATTATTACTAGTGCATTATCAAAAGAAATTAGTGAGAAAGTAAAAATTATTTTGTATAGAATGAACTCAAAACAAAACGTTTAATTTAAAAACACTTATTCACAACCATTTCCTGCATGTCCAGCGTTTTAAAAAATGCTTAATGGTGATTGTTTTGGATTTATATTTTTTAAATGTTTTTTCTGGGGCTTGTAATAAGTACTTGATTTTCTCTTTTTTAAAATGGGATTTGTTTTTCTTTGTTGTGTCGATTAACGTCATAAATTAGGAAAAAGCATGTATTTTACGCATTTTTCTTCAATATTTAGCGAAAACTAGTTATTTCATTATGAATATGTGAAGTCATTAAAAATGTTTTTGCATTTATTGATTTTATATATATAAATGAAGAAAAATGTATATGAATAAGGAAACTCAAAAAGAATTCAACTGTCCGAACTGTCTGTTATTTATGTCCGAAATAGCGAGAAAATTATGAATCAGGATGTTCGATTTTAAAATCACATTAACACATGTCGAAATATTTTAATTTGAAATCGTGCCAATATGAATCGCAATGGTGAATTTTAAAATCGGGTGAATTGGAATGGCTATGTGTAACTTTTAAATCATGCAAACCAATCTCTGATATTAAAATCGTATAAATATGATTTATACTCCTTTTAGGAAAATGGAGATAGCAATTAAAGATCTGAAGAAATTCTAGCTGCAATGTACTTACTTTAATTGAATTCAAAAATAGATTTTTTTTTCAACTATTTGCTATCCTCTAAAAAAAACGTATTTTGTGTTAAACTCATGTTTCTGACAGCATTGACTGTTGAAATTTAGAGAGAAAAAGCCGGTTAACAAATAAAAATGCCCATTCAGTGTGGAATACATAAAGTGGTATTGTTGTGGATGAACAGCAAACTTTTTCTAAATAAATAGTCCGAAGAAACTGAAGTGGAAAGGATATTACTTGATTATAAAAAGTTTATTTGCTTCAAAAATATGTCTGTATTTTTGAAGCAGAAAAATATATTTCCTGATAAAACAAAAATATTTTTTCTATTTATGTATTTTTTTGAAACTATTGAAGTTTTTAATCAAGTAATAACAAACCTTCATGTTTATTTTTGCTTTCTTTTCTCGTTAGACAGGATGTAAAACTGTTGTTGGTGATGCGTTCTGTTGGTTAATTAGTCATATCCTATGTTTTCCTTAAATTTAAGGAATATTCAGATTTTTTAGTCGCATCTGCTTAAATTAACATTATTATTTATCTGCAAATATTTATTTATTACTTATTTAACTCTATTTTTCTGTTATAGTATTTATTATTCTCTGCCCACATTGTGCTTTTAATTCTGCTTACATTTTTTTTTTAAAAAGCAGTGTTTCTTTTATAAATTATTCTGTGATATTATTTTAATTATGCAACATTTTATGATAAGTTTGTTTAAAAGGATGTATAACTTACTGTTTAACATTATTAAACATAAATGAGTTATATTTATTTGTAACAGTCTTATGTAAAACAATGTTAATTCAATATATACAATTAAAATAACAAACAAAAAAGTGTAAATCATTATTGGGAATTAAGTTTTAGAGAAAGAAATATAGCGAGTTTTTAACATAACCAAAAATTAAATAAGAATGTCAAAAACAAAGTTGTATATGAAGTTACATTTGTAACTGAACAAAGTTATTGATTTTAAATTTTATCTAAAGCAAGTGGGAAGCTAAATCTGTATTAATACAATACAAAAATAATAAGATCTTATAAGTGAATAATTTTCAACTTTGATATAACGATTTGTGAATCATTAGGAAATAATGTTTTCTTGGTAAATCATGAACAAAGTGAGCAGAGGGTAAAATTTCAAAAATCTCTAATTTGATTTTTTTTTAAAAGAAAGGCTTTTTATTATTTAGGTTTGCATTGTTTCAGTTACAACAATGCTTGAAAATTATGCTGAGGATTTTTTTTTCCTTTAAAGCACTATTATTTATGTGTAGGCACTATGTCAAATAAAGTGCTTTCTAAAAACTTTTTTTCATTTTAGTTTTTTTTTTCTCCTTACAAATTACTCTTTTTTATTCTCTCTGTGGCAATATCAAGTAGAACTTTTAGATTTGTCATTAATGAATAAATGAAGTCACACTATTGAATCAAAACTGTTTGTTCAACAACAGTTGTATTTTTAGACCTGTTTTTTTTTGTTGTTTTGTTTGCAGCTCAGAATTTGTTAAACGTACCCATTTTGTTTTATGATCTATTTTTATTATTTGTTTATAAGGGTTTATATTTATTATTTTTATGTATATATAGTTTTATATTTAGTTTTTTATTAAATTTATCTTTCCTTCTAGGATTATAATACCATTTTAGATAGTCAAAAATTTGTAGACTCCCTCACAGAGAATATTATCACTCATGAGTAAGTTAATACAGCAGTTTGTTTCTAAACAGGAAGATTTTTAAAATCAAATTTCGATTTTTGTGTTTTTATATAATTTTGCTTTTCAGCTACGCCTTTTGGATCGGAGATTTAAACTTTCGTCTTGACGACTATACTCAAGAAGAAATAGTTCATTTAATTGAAAAAAAGTCACTTAGTCCACTACTTATAAAGGATCAAGTAAACTGTTTTATATTTTCTACATAAAAAAATTGAATTGCAAGTTTATTTGTAAAGCAATGATTTTTTTTATTTAGTGTGCATTTTCATTAAATTATTTCAATGACAAGTTAACATTTTCTACAATGTAAGCAATTGTATGACTATTTACTTTACTACTTTGTTTTATATAGTATATCCTTGAGCTGTGATGGCTCAGGGGATAGAGCGTGCACCTTCCGATGAGGTGAACCGACTTGCACCTACCACAGTGTTGACGTAACATATCATCAGTGGTAGGCGGATCATGGGTTCGAGTTCCCTTGCCCTCAGGCTAACCGTGGAAGGTTTTCGTAGTTTACCTCTCCATGTAACTCAAATGTGGGTTAGTTCCATCAAAAAGTCCTCCACGAAAGCAAGTTTCCCCCAATACTTGATCCAGGAATTCTCTAGTCTTTTAGATTCGGTACAAAATTACAAGGCTACATAGTTGAACATTGGTAGCCGTAAACCCTATATTGAGTTGGCTGTTCAACAAGGGTTATAAAATAAAATAAAATATAGTATATCCTTATTTCTGAAATACTTTAAAGGGAATTATTATGTAATACTACTTTTATATGATATAACTTCTATATAGTTTGATATAGTAGTCATGTATCTCAAAAGGCTTTCCTGTAAAAAGGAAATAGGTGAAAAAATTTTTGAAGAGCATAAGTTTTTTTAGTTTAATTTATGTTTTCAAATTTTTTTAAAAAATAGATTTAAATTTAAAATTTTTTGTGCCGTTACATTTTTTTTTTAAATGTTCATTCACATGAGGTGACATTTGTTAATGTTTTTATTCTGAGACTTCTCTTTTATGAATGTAACCTATACATTTGCCAACAACTGTTGGAAAATTGGTTCATTTGTGGTTAAACCAAAGTTGAGTTTATCTGATTAATGAATTACATTTAAATGAATTCACAAGCATACTCTATTCATTTTCTAATGTTCAATTGAAACTTGAACTCTTATTTTACTTCAATTTATTTAATAATATTTAACTTTTTTATTTGATGATGAAACTAATGTTTTCTCTGTATATAAATTTATACATTTAAGGAATAAAAAGATGTAATTTAATAAAAACAGGAAATTGCATTTATTGTATTTAAAATTAAAGAAACCAATTGCAATTTTTGAATTAACAACAGCAATTTCAAAGTAAAGAAATTTGCTTTTAACAATTTCTAATTAGCTGAATGCCATTCTGAAAATTATGTATTTTTGCTTTGTAAACTATTTAGTTTCTTAAACACTTCAATTTTGCTTTTCTACTGTTATTAACTTTTATCTTTTATTTTGCAGCTTCGTAAAGTAATGAAACTTGGGCAAGCTTTTTCAGAATTTAATGAAAGTCCTCCATCATTTAGTCCTACCTTTAAATATACCATAGGTGAAGACACATATGATTTATCGTGAGTACTTTTTTTTAAAATATTAATTCAAAACATATTGCTTTTTTTAAGAAACAATTCAGAAAGTGGTATAATTATTATCATTTGCCTTATCACTTAAATATAAAATCTCAAATAGGAACAATTGTTACGAAGCTTAAATGAAATGAGACCAGCAAGGGCTGAATAGCTGAAAAAGGATTCATATGCCTCTGTACATTTCAGCCTTATATTTTTCGTTGACTTTTATCCGACATATAAAATCTTGAGCTTAGGTTTAACAGGAAAAAAAAAAACAAAAAAACTATCAATCTTAGGCATGAGCAGATTCATATTAAAAATCCTGGAGAATATTAACAATATTTTTAGTGCAAGGTGACATGTTTTGTGACTACACTGTCCTAAAAATGTTTGATTTTTTTTTTAAATTAATATACATTTTTTAAAAAAAAATTACTGTCATAACCACATTTTGTGTTAGTACCTTATGCAAAAATTACTTGAATGACCTATTATATATTTGAATAACAAAATATACAGTTGAATAACAAAATATACAGTTGAATATACAGTTTAAATATACAGTTGAACCTCTTTATTACAAATCTCTTAATCTCAAAAACTTCTACATCTCAAAAATTTTAAAAATCCCTACATTTACTGTCTAAAATCTATGTATTTTTCATGTTTATAGCTTAAAAAAAATTTCAAAACCTCCGTTTCTCGAATTTCTAATAATGGAGCATAAATGCTCAAACAACATAACTTTCTTTATCAGTAAAACTCACAGACAGAGATGAATTTCATGAACCCACAAGAAGTAGGAATGAACAGGTTGGGGGTGTTTCTTGGAATTTAAACACGCATAACTAGCTATGAGGGCTTCGCCGCTCTTTCCTTACAAGAATTATCGAAACAAAGAAGGTTGCACATTGAAAAATTATTTTGAGTGTTAAATATATGTTAAAATAATGTTATTTAAATAGATGTATGTGGTATAAATTATTTACAGAAATGCCTGTATTTTTCTACTAAAAACAATTAAAGCACTATAAATAGAATTTCTTAATCAAATTTAATTTTTTAAAGTACCTATATAACTTGGAACCTCTTTATCTCAAATTTTTCACCTTTCCCGTGAGTTTCGAGCTAAACAGGTCCAACTGTACTAAACTTTGGTCTGAAATAAAAAATATATATTTGAAGTTTTTGACAAGACATGTTATCTGGAAAAAGGTGATTGGCATAAACATATTAACTGCAGAAACCATTATGTTGATTTTGTTTATAATTCATACTTGTAGAAGTAGACTTGGACCTGCAGATATGATGCTTATTTTTCTTTTCTAATGTAAACGTGCTATCTGATAAAATGATCAGGGGCAGTCGGTAATGGCGTTGCTCACTACACTGGAGAAGGCCGGGGGTCATGAGTTTGATCCTGGATACCAACTAAACAACCTGTGTGACACAGCAATACAGCAAGCTGCACATTAAATCTGTCTTGGCTGTAAGTTCTATCATTGGATGCAGTGTTTAAATTTGACGAAAGCGGTACAAGCTCAGGCTCCGTCCATATTGTCTGACCAGGGTCAAAATTACGTGGCTTTCCTGCCATGGTTGTTAGAAGATCGAGCTCAGAAAAACGGAATTAAATGCTTGGTCATGGTTGGGTGGTATGTGTGATAAAGTGTACATAAGTATTTAAAAAGTGTTGAACTGCACTAGAAATTCTTTTAAAGTCTCAATTAAATCATATACTCTTTCTTGTTTTTATAGTATCTAAGTATTCGGTTTGGTATCTTCTCTCGATTTTTGATTCTCTAGAGCCTGCAAATCTGTAATTGCCAAAATATAAATGGCTTGTAGTATTATAATAATATTCTATTAAATTTTAATATTCTTAATATTAATGTTCTTTAAATTATAAAATTTTGATACTATCTTGAACTCAACTGAATGCTTAATTTCTTTTTCTTATTGTTCACAACCAAATTATTTCTTAAAAGGTAACTTCTTATGATTTAAATGAGTAATAAAATGTTTCTTGAATAATAAATGTTGAACTCTTTTTTAGTAAACGGAAGCCAGCTTGGACAGATAGAATATTGTTTAGATTTACTCCAGATGCTTATGAAAGCGCCACACTTAGTTTAAAGCAACTGCATTATGATTCACATCAAAATTACATGCAGAGTGATCACAAACCTGTCTCATCCAGCTTCAATATCAAGGTATGCATATACAATGCTTGATTGATTGGTTTTGCTTTTTTGAGTTATTGATTATTTATTCATGTTTGCATGTGTTCAAATCTCTTTTATAACTAGCTGTTCTGTACTAGTCTTTATTTCTTTAGTCAATTGTTGGCGAACTATTATTTTCATTGCTCGTTGTGTATTTAAAATAATTTTCTCTATAAAACAAGAAAAAGTAACTTATCACAACGTCAAACTACAACAAAAGTTAACTTCTATCTGCTATATATTACCAAGCATCAAATAAATTTTCACATATTACATGAACTTCTGTCAGTTGCTGTAATATAATTCTTTTTCGGAAAATCATCTTGGTTTAGTGAAATATATCATTCAAAAATTGGGGAGGATTATGTAAATTTTCAGGCATATAATTGAATAAATGTCAAATAATAACTTAAATTACAATATTCAACCATATAAATTCCGAATTTTAAATTATGTTTAATTTACATTTTATTGATAAATAAAATGTGATGTACTAAGAGTATTTGTGTTGTTTCAAATGTGATGTAACTTGTGAAACCAAATTAAGTTATATATGCATTAGCTCAAAACTGTATTGTGCTTTATATTAGTTAATTTTAAAATTCTTCTTTAAAAAATATCTATAATGCATACATCAGCATTAGGAAACAACAATCTTACTATGCATTTATTTGCAATCATTATAACTGTTTATATCTTATATAATTATCCGTTATCTTATATAATTTTTCAGATTTCAAATTGTTGTAAATAATGTTTGCTTTAAATCTAGAAAACTAATTTCTAAAATGTTCAAAAAAATTGAATGAAATATTTATCTATACTTAAGCATTAGAGAACAACAATACAATTCTAAAATCTACATTTTTTTGATCATTATAATTGTTTATTTTGTTGACATAGCTGCCAACTCTACTGGATTTTCCAGTAGACTACTGGATTTTGCCAGTTTCTCCTGGTCTACTGGTTTAATTAAATTCTCCTGGTTTTTGTACATTTTAGAAAATTCCCTAAGATTGAGTAAATTTCCTTAAAGAATCGCTATTGAAATAGAATTTTTGAATATTTAAATAAGTATTAATAATACATAATGAAGCGATCCTCATTTATAAAAATCATTTCAAAACTTTATTGTTATAAAATGTTCAGTTTATTTTCATTCAGAGCTCTCTTTTCAAATTAATTAAAAAATATCTTAACTTTCTTTGATGAGTTAAATGCCTATTAATATTCAAAATTATGAGTAAACACAATAATTTCAAGTATGTTTCATGTCAATCAAACGTGGAAAATATTGCAGTCTCTCTATTTTGAATACTATAAAGAGCCCTTAAGTTTCCCTTGTGTAAAATATTTAGTACAATATGCAACAATTATCATGAAATTTATATTATTTCGTAAAATCTACTGGATTTTTTCCTATCCATGTTGGCAGCTATGTGTTAAAATTTAATTTCATTACGCACAAGGAATTGATTTTAAAGAATTGTTTTTTCACAGGTTTTCTCTAAACCAGCTGAAAAACGAGTAACATTCTTACCCATAAATGATTGGAAAGTTCATGCAGACAGTATAGCATGGTATACCTTTAGTGAAGGATCTGAACCAAGTATATGGGATTGGATTGGTCTTTACAGGGTATCTATTTATTTAAAATTATTTACACTTTTTATAATCAGGGTGTGTAGCGTTTTAAAAAGTGCTTAAAGGTGCATATTTTGTTTTTTAAAAACCCTTAAAGGTGCTTTTTTCGTTGGGTGTTTTTAAAAAGTGCTTAATTTTCTTTCTTTCTTTTTTTTTTTTTTTTTTTTTTTTTTTTTTTTTTTTTTTTTTTTTTTTTCAAAATTAGATTTTTCCTTTACCATGTTGATTTTTGCTATGAATTGTGCAAAAAGACGCAGTTCGTATTGTTCTATTCAACATTTTCACAATTAATTCAAACCCAATCAATCTACTTCGGCGTATTGTCAGTCTGTAGCATATGAAAACGCCATTCGTTTTTCAAAGTTAAAAATTTAATGATTTTGACAATTGTCAAAAGCAATGCCAAAGGTTTTTTTTTTCTCGACATGACGGTTAAAACAAGATAAAACCATCAATTATCAAAAACTTACCAACCTTGCATGATTATGATATTTTTTTAAAGTGCTTAAAAATATTTTTTGAGTGCTTAAAAGGTGCTTATTTTTTGTTGAATATTTTGGCTACGCACCCTGATAATGCTTTCACTCAGTTTTCTCAGTTTCTTATTTGCCTGGTAGCAGATACACTCCAGGTTGCAATGAGATTCCAGATTGCAAAGAGTACTGCAGATTATTTTTCATCTAAGCTTTATTTTTATTTTTAAAACAGATATTAGCAAATTGGGAGAAATTGCTGAGTTTCTTTCTAACAAAAATTATAAAACAGAATTAAGAGAACACTGTAAAAAATAAAAAGTAAAAAAGACATCTCTGATCTTCTTGCTAGCAAAAATTGTAAAGCTGAATAGAGGAAAAACTGCAAGGAATAAAAAGTAGAGAAAACATATCCAAGCTTGTTTCTAACGAAAATTATAATGCTAAATTGAGAGAAAGCCGCAACGAATTAAAAGTAGAGAAATCACCTTTAAGTATGTTTCTAACGAAAATTATAAAGCTGATTTGAGAGAAAGCCGCAAGAAGTAAAAGTAGAGAAACGTTTTGAAGCATGTTTCTAACAAAAACTATAAAGCTGAATTGAGGAGGAAAAAAACGCTAAGTATAAAAAGTAGGAAAAACATCTCTGAGCATGTTTCAAACAAACTATGAAGCTGACTTGAGAGAACATGCAAAGAACAAAAAGTAATGATTTTTGCCCATTACTTCAATACAGGTTTAACTGTGTAGGGATTTATCCCATTCTTTTTTATCATTGCATGAAGTTCTACTTAAATTTAAAGAACTTAAAATTTTTAGAGATCTTACAGTTTCAAATTTTGTTTTATGTATGTTAGATTAGAATGAATTTTTACAAGAAAGAATTGTGAGATGAGATTAAAATTTTAGATTAGATTAGAATGAATTGTTAGATTAGATTAAAATGGATGAAATGTTAGATTAGAATGAATTCTTAACAAGAATAATCTCTGACTGAGTTGAGGTTGCTGACAGTAGACAACAGTGTCTGCAGACAATAGAATCTGATTAATATACAGACTGGCTGTATCAATCTGTTTGAATTATTTAAGTATCAGCTGTCTACCTTCAAGAAACAGTATGGACACACACACTTTATAGATGTCAGCTGAACAGATTACAAATAAAATATGATAAATCTTCTCATTTACATAATTTTGATGGTGATTACTAAATGACTTTGATAGTGATTATGAAATGACACTGAGCTGTGGTGGCTCAAGGAATAGAGTGTTCACCTCCCAATAAGGTTAGCCAGGTTCAAATCTCAACGGTGGCTGGTCAATACGATTTCTGCTCCTGACTCGCACCAACCACAGTGCTGGCATGTGACTCTTCGGATAATTAATTTAATTCCGTGAATCAATAATTTATATTGAATTAATAGATTTCCCTCTTAATATAAGCAAATGCTTGTTAGTTCCATCAAAAGGGCAAGTTTGTCCCAATGCTTGATCCAGGGGCCTCTTGTCTTCTGGATTGGGTTCAAAATTACAAGGCTATAGAGAACCACAACAATAGCTGTAAACTCGAAATTAGGTTGACTATTCAACACCAGTTATAAAATGTGAAATAAAATAACATGGTGGTTATAAAATAACTTTACTGACCTATGTCTCCTTGGCAAGCATATCATTAAAGAGAATTGAATAAAAATTTGTTTACAAATTTGCATATGTTGTTAAAAATGATTACCCTCCTCTTGTGATTAAAGTGGCGGTGACAGAATTTTTGCATTTTAAAATAGCGGCGCCTACTTTTTTTATGAAAATGTGATCCTTACTGCAAAAAACTCAAAATGTAATTGAAATGGTTATTCTAACATAAAAGACTTTAGGGAGCTAGAGCGCATCATCGGGATTGAATTTGTATTGTTACCCATACCCAGAAATGTCGTAGCATGACGTTAGGGGTGCTTTCCTATTATGATCTGTTTAGAAGCACACAAAGAAACAATTTATAATAGCGAAATTTCTCTAGCGGCGTATAGCGACATTTCATGGTTCCTGAGCAATTTTAATCCTGATGATGTGCTCTAACTCCCTCAGAAGTTTGTCACACTTTTATGCAGCTCCCTTGTTGTATATGACAAATTTTAAACTTGTACATTCAGACAGAAATGGACTGAAAATGTCATTTTAATAAAAACTGTAGCTTGGAGATAGAAATTTGAGGTTGCAAATTTGAAATCAGCAATGTAAAAACATCCAAGATCTGTTAAAAGATCTCATGCAATAGGAAACAAAAAAAAGTTTCCTCTATCTATTTATTTTTAATGCCTTTAAGGCCTGTTTACACGATCCAAGTTCTTGAATCCAAGAAATTGGAGGAATTTCTCTGTCCAAGAACTTTGATGATATCTAAGTTGTTGAATGTCACTGATTGGTCGGAAGGAAAACTTGCGCATGCGCAATGTTCCTATTCAACATTATAAAATAATACTAATAATTTACTAAATAAATTCAAATAAAATCATAATACAAATAAACTATAACAGATCAATTTGTTTGGACTAAAATATATGAAAATAGACAACAAAATGACATAATACGATGCCTGCTTGTTGGCGTCGCAAAATCTAAGACGCTGATTGATTAAGGGAGAAAAAACTTAGATGGAAAGTAGAACATGCTCTACTATCATCCAAGGACTTGGACCAAGTACTTGGATGATTGTTTACACAATCCAAGCTCAAAGCGAAGCAATCTTCCATCAATATCAATCAATCTTCGTCCAAGAACTTGATTCGTCTGAGCAGGCCTTAGTACTGTATTTTATTCCGTTCTCTTGATGGGTGTTCTTTCCAAAGGGTCATGCTGGCAAAGTTATTTAAATTGTTTTTCTCATTTCTGTGTTTCATTTTTTTTTTAATAGTTGTGAAGTAAAAATAGTTATACCATATTGAAATATTTCTTCGAATTTCAAATGGGTCACATTTTTTCTTAATATTATTAGGCTGATTTTACAAGCATTGATGAACATGTTTGTTACATCTGGGCACCAGTGCGTCCGTCAGGTAGTAATCCTCTTCTGCCAGAGTCGGTTGAAAAAAAGGATGAAGAAGAATGTTCTGTTGATGGTGCCGTATGTTCTTCTAGTACTTCAAAACAACACCAGGGTCCCTGGTACAAAGTTGTATTTGCTGATCAAACTCTTCTGATACCTGGGCGATATCGGCTCTTTTATATTAGCTCTGACTTTGATGACATTTTGGGGGTTAGTGAACCCTTTGAAGTAAGTTAAAAGACAATTTATGCTTCAATTTATAAGCTTAACAGGACTATTTTCTTTGCACTCACAGCTTTTTTTTTTCCAATCGCTAGCTTACCTCAAGCATTTGTTGTTGTTATTCAGCATTTAATTTGCTTACACAAATTTTTGCTAATTTTTCTTGACTAATATATATATATATATATGTTCAATAATTGCTAATTTATTTTATATATGTATACTGCTAAGTTATAAAAAAATGCTGTAATTACTTTATTTAATTCTGGCTTGTAACTCATGGGAAATTACTTAAGCTTCTTTTAGTATTTAACTTTGTATTTGTGATATTTTCTTTAACATAGTAATGTAATTCTTGTTTATAAACTTTTACTTGGAAGTGTTTTAAGTCTGTGTGCATATAATACGGCTTTTATTTTAATTGAAATTTAAGTATGTGTATTTTGAGTATAAGTTGCTCATTCTAAGATACTGATTTAGTACCAAAAATAAACGTGCCAAGTTTTGAGTGTAATGTTTAAAAGGAGTAATTTAATTTTAAAATGTAACTAAAGAATAGTGTTAAAATGGAATTTATTAACATAATCCTAATTGGATGATCATTATATCCTTGCTATTATTAATGATGTCATCTTGTTTTGATCCATTATGCTTATAATTATACTTAGAAATTGTTATAACTTCTTAGGCTTATTATAATGTTCTTTTTTAATTAAACTCAAATTTTTCTGAATGTGGTTTTATAATAATTTTTAATTTCTATTTAATTTTAAATCACAACCACTCATTATTTTTTGCAGAAAATAAAATGATTTACAAAATGCTTAGGCTCGAAAGAGTTAAAATTTTATAAATATATATTTATCATTAACTTATTTACGATTGCAATTTTTTTTCTTCTTTCAGTGCTATTATTCTATTTTATCATTCGATATATAGTCTTTTATTCTTCAGTTTATTTGGGTTTTTTCTAATTATTTTTTATGAATTTAACACATTGTAATAGTACTCAAAGTTAATTTAAATTGTGTATTCATATTTATAGAGTTTTCGTACAGTTCTTGATGTTGAAATTTAGAGCTTTGTGCAGAGAAGATATTCAGCAGTTATTGAGAGTCATAACTATTGTGCTTAAATAACTTCGCATTCATTAATTTAGCTGTACAATATCTCCCCTAACTTCTATTGCTTTAATTTTGCATGAAACTAAAGCTGGATGAGGCATTTATATTTTAGAAATTTGTAAAATGGTTTATAAAATCATTTTCCATCTATTATATTTTTAAAGTCCTTATGCAACATTATAAAGAAAAATCAATTGTCTTAAATCACCAAACCTGAAATATAAAGATGATAGTTTAAGTTATATAAGAAATTTATTTTAAATTTGTAACCCTTTTTTAAATTATTGAATCTTAAGTTACTTATCTGTAATATAAAATCTTCATAAGAACCTTTTTTTTAAAAAAAATATATACATATGTAAGCTTATTTTAAATTTCTTAATCGGAAAAATAATTTTCTTGTCAGTTATATAATCTTAATTACAAAACTGTTATTAATTGTTAAAACTGGAAAAGTAGATTAATCTATATAAGCAAACCACTTTTAGTTTATAACTCTATTTTAAATCACCATATCTGAAAAAAATGAAAAGAAGTTGCTTATAAGTGATTTAAGCTTTATATTATTTAAATTGTAACTGTAGTTATGTATTTTTAAACTAAATTGAGAAGCATATGTGATGTGACTATTAAAATTAAGATTAATCTTCTTTTTTTAAAAAAAAATAACTTTAAAAAAAATTACCCACTTGCAATGTCTGTTTTTAGGTACCCCTATATCCCATACCACTCCATGTGAATCTTCCATTCTTGAAAGCAGTGTTTAAAGACATTAAATGACGCTACTCGTGTAAGCTCTTCCAATTTTGTGTTCCATTTATCCATTTATGGTGTCAGATCTTTATTTTTATTTTTTATTTTTAAATGCAGATGTGATTTTAAGGAATGAAATTAGGAGTTGAATTTTCTCATAAATATGGTGATGCTATGTTTTCAATAAGAATAGTTTTTTCATTGAAATATTGCTGGATTTTCGGAATAAATGTCTTAGAGTTATTTTGAATAAAGTCTCAATTCTGTGCTGTATCTTCATGGATACCACAAATTTTTTCCTTAATTTGATTTCCACCTTCATTTTGTAACTTGAATGTTAACATTAACTGGAACATCTTAGTCCCTATTTATCATAATTTCAAATTGATGTTGTTCAATGTTTTGATGAACCGTCAATGAGTACTTTTAGCTCTATTATCTGTTTTCATGGTTGTTTAATCAATGCAAAATCAAACTGATTAATTTAATAGAAGTGTCAAGACTCTTGAAGATTATGACTATATTTTTTTTTTCTAATAAATTATGGTCACACATTGAAATATTATGAAAGGTGTATTGGATAAAATAAAACTATGCAGTACCTTATTTGCTAAAACTAAATCAAAAGGAAATATATGTCTTGTATTTTAATAGCCACATCACTTATGAACCCGTAATATAATTTTCATCTGATTAAACCCGTAAATGATCGGTTAAATTTCAAGAAAACTGTCATAAAATGCCTATTTTTTATACACTTATATTATACAAGTATTTGATTAGTGCTGACATCTAGTTTAAAATAAACTATCTACAATTACCTTAAAAATATCCTAGTACTGCCATCTGGTGTGTAAAATGAGAAATAAAATGTTTTCCAGGCAAAAGAAATGAATTAGTTTTATTCTTATAGACGCGTTAGTACTGAACACTCCAGCCCGGGAATATCACGGGAGCGAGAAATAGAGGGTGAAACCTCCCTCTCTCATTTTTACGGGAGTGAGAAGGAAGGGGTTAATTGGATATGTCTAAACTTCAAAATCAGTCACTAATTACAAGCTATTTACCAATTATTTATTATATATTGCTCTCTGCAAGTGCTAAGGAATATTTATTTGAAGAAAGTCATAAGGGAAATTAGATAGAAAATTAGGGAATTTTTTTCTCCTTAAAAAATAGGAATGGCCTTTTCACCCTTTTTTTAAATTTTTTTTTTTAAATTCTATCTATTAGTTATATAATTTGTTATTCAATCTACTCATTGACTTAATTCTTATTCTTCGTATTATTATTTATTGTTTCAATTTTAAGCTCACGTTTCAAAAGTATAGTGCAACTTTGATATCTTAAATTTTTGAGTAATTAAAAGAAATTGGGACAGAGTTTCTGAATTTGTGGAGGACCAAATATGACTTGTTATATTCTATCTTATTTCAAAAAGTAATATTATAAAATTGATAGCTGCCAACTTTGCTGGATTTTTCCAGTTTAAGTTACTTCCTCGTGTAATAAAAAATTCTCTAAAACTGGGAAAGTTTCTAAAACGATCCATTCCAAAAGCTAAATAATGTAGTAAACCTAAATTATAGTAATAAATTTGATGTTTTTCTTTTGTTTAAATATTTAAATCTTCTATCGTTCTAGAACAATATTTAAAATAAAAAATATGTTATAATCATTTATAATGTGAGTTAAATGCCTATTACAATACCAAATATTATGTCGCGTGTATATTTTTCTCAAAATATTTTTTCTGAACTATTTTGAAATTATTTAAGGAATATTTTTTCACTTTCTAAAATAAATTAATTACTCATAACTATTCAAAATTATAAAATTAAACTGTAATAAACATTATAAAACATTTTATATTCTTAATCCAAAGTAATGTTAATCATAAATTCAAAATATTGCTGCCAATTTAAATTTATGGTAAGCATGGATATTGACTATTAAAATCTCTGAATCCCATTCTATTTGAAATAATTTAAATACTTAGTAGTTAGCAGGAAACTTATACTATATCATAATATCTACCACATTTTTTGGTGTTACAAATTTGGGAAAAATCACAATTTTTTTGAAAATTCAGATTTTTAAATTAGATGATAGATTTTTTGGAAATGTTTTCCAATTCTGAAAAGAAATGGCCATTAAAATAATATGTTAGCATACCATAAGGAATGACATGTTAGCATACTATAAGGAATGACAATTATGATTTGCTCATTCTTAGCTGCCACAAAGTTATAACATATCTTTTAACTTTTTTTTTTATAAATTGTAAAATTAATGAAATTTAGAAATAAAATAACAGTTTAAAACATAATACTATGTAACCAATCGAAACTGATATTTCACCATGTCAGATATTTATAATAATAAAAGAAAATTCATAAAAGGTATTATTTCAAATGCTTGATATGTATCTATACAATCAAACTCACTTATAATTTGTGGGAAGTGACCTCAATGCTTGATTGTAACAACTAAGTTCATGTAAAAAACAGGTTTGTGAAAAATCATAAAAGTTAATACATGCTTACTAAATTATAAATATAAAATAATTTTTTTTTTCTTTCATTTCTGAATAGTACAAAATTAGTCAGTTAATTTGCTATAAACTGCCTTATTGCCCAAAATTGGCCTGGAAATTATAGTCCAAACTCCAAAAAAGAATATCTCCAAGAAGTGATGAGCTGAACTGAAGGGGTAGAATTATGGAAAAATTTTATAAATCTTAAAATGTTGCTCTCTTAAACCAGGTTTTGCTTGTAAAAGCGAGCCAGCCATGTTCCAAAAAGACTTAACATTGTACCATCCAAAAAAAAAAATTTGTATCCCTTAAGAAACGATAAATCCATATTTTTACCATATTTTTGTGTTGATTTTTTAATATAATTTTTAATTTTTCACAAATTATGTCTAAATTTTCCCAAAATGGGTACGTCTCAGAAAAACCTAGACAGTCCCCTGGTAGATGTATATATTTTTTAGAGTGGGGAAACTTGTTTAAGTTATCAAAGTTGCATTCAATATTGATTTGGATTATTTTCTGATCGCTAAAAATTTTCATTTATTTATTTCTTTATTTTATTCTGTCATTTATTTTTGCTTATGTAGTATATTTTAAATCCCACTGCTTTTTTTAACAACTTTTAGCATCTAACACATTGCCTAATTTCTCAACAATTTTATTACTTTTGTTCCCATTCTAATTATTTCAACTTCTAACACAGTACAAACCCTCTGTTGAGTCCCATTCTAATGCTGGTGGTGCATTTCATGGTGATGGTCTTTTAGGTGGTGATGTTTACCTTCTAACTTCAGTTGCTATCGCAATGATTGCAATGCTTGTTGTTATGCTTAGTTGTCACAACTTTAGCTTCCTAAATTATTCAGATTTTTGAACAAGACTGACGGAAGAAAATTTCTGAACTGGGAGTTGATTGAAACTCTGACTGCCAACTCGAAGTCTACTGAACATATATCCAAAAAATTTGGTGATGTTAAATGAAACGTTGCAATAAATATTTATGTGTGTAAGAATGCAATTTATTATTATTTTTGTGATTGTATGATATACTCTTATATTTAATGTTAAACAACCATTTGACTTTGATCAAAACCAAATGCTTGATTTAACAAATTTTATTTTACTTTATATAAATTTTATAAATTGTCTAGTTTTTGCTATTGTGTTTAACTTTTTAACTTAACTTCTCAAACAAAATATACACATAAGCAATAAATATTTTAAGCATTATAGATATAAAAAAAAATGTTTGGCAAAAAAAATTTATGTATTTTTGTTCTTTTAAGTGATTTGGTTTTTGTAATTGTATTTAATATTGTAAATATTAACTTCTCAAACAAAATATATGTTCAATAATGACAAAATTTTCCTTCTTAAATAAAATAAACATACAAATTTTCACCTACTCGCGTTTTTCTGTTGGTCCTTTAAACCAACATTATATATATATTTACTAATCTAGAGGATATTAGAAAGCTATTATGTTCACTTCAATTTCATTATTCAAAAACAAAGCTACATAAACACAAGAGTAGATAAAATTATTTATCCCATTATTAAAAATGTAAACATAATTTAATTAGTCTCGGCTATGTTCTGCTATTTCTAAGATGGATAAGTTGTATCATCCTAATTTAATTTGGTACAATAATTATTTTAGTAGCTAATCTATTTTAGTAACTAATATTGTTATTTGTTTTTTGTTAAAAAGCATATTCTTAATTTATTGTGTCTCTTTTTCTATTAATTCTTCATGTAATTTGTGTATGTACTTTTTCATTTTGATGTATTTTTATTATATACATATCAATTAAATATTCCTCATCTTAAATACATAGAAGATCACATCATGGATATTAGAGATGAGAGAGGTTCAGCCTGGGTCTGCTGCGGGTTTGTTTGCTGAAAGAAGTTTTTAGGTTCTTTTAATACTTTTAATAAACTTTTTTAATACTTTAAAACAAACATTTGGTGCAGTTATTAATTATAAAATTTATTAATTTTGATAAAAGGGTATTAATGACTAATTTTCTTGTTTAGTCAGCATTGGCCTAATAGCGAGACCACAAAATTCTGTCGTTATCCAGCATAATTTTTGGCTCTATGTGATCCTATGTATCTCTGACTTGGGTGGGCTCGGATTAAAATTCTTCAGGCTTGAACCTTCAAAAGGAAGCCCAAACTCATCTCTGATAGATATACATAATTATATATTATTTATTTTTCAGCCAGTTATCATATTACTTCATTTTCATTCTAGACTTCATGAATGACTAATATAAAGACTTAAGGTCCTACTCTTTTTTGTTTATATTTAAAATTATTTACTATTAGAAACTTAAACCTGTTTACTTACTGCACAGTACTTAAATGTACTATATTTGATTTTAACCTTATTTTGAAGCATTCCAATCATTATTTTTGTTTTACTTTATTCATGACAGAATTTTAAAAAAGGTGGAAAAATTTTTGCAACACAATAGTGATAATACTCTTATTTGTAGTGCATAACTTATTGAATAAAATCTTATAATTTAAACGTAATCTTTAGATCATAAAATTGGTTTCATTTTATTGTAATAAAAATTTGTATCAAGGATGTTAATTTTTTCGTTAATATCTTTCTTCATCTGTAGTTACAAAATATTTTAGTTAAGAACAAAACAATATTTATATTAAACAATTTTATTTTTAAATGTGTTTAGTTTTGTTCGTAGTTTCTAAAGCTGTAAAAAAATATAAAATATATTTCATTGTTATGAGAATATTATATCTTTTAATGATTATTTTTGAATAATCAGACATTGTATAATACTACATAATCATAAACACAATTCATTGTAACAGTTTTTAGTACCTGTAACAATAAAATGTGTTAGTACGTTCATTGTAGCAGTTATTGAAAACTCATTTTTAGTACAAAACCTATATTTAACAATGGGTCGGGAGCACTTTTATATTTTTATGAATACATTGTTTTGACTAGAATGTTCACTTACTTGAAATTATTAAACACTTTACTTAAAGTTTTTTTTTTTTTTTCTTATAAAAATAATTCTGTAATGAGAATATTTACATAGTTTTTGAAAGTGAATGTTCGATTCAATAAAAACTTCATAACACTGAATTTGTAACTTCGGTATCAGAACACTGAAATTGTGCAATTTAATTTGTTTTAAAAAATGCATGAATTATTTTCAAATTTTAGTGCAGATCGCATTTTTTGTTGCAGATTTTTTAACCTTTTGTACATTATTCATAACTTGGTGTTATAACTATTTTGATGAGGCTTTGTAATATTAAAATATAACTTTAATTATTTGAAATATATTTCTTGTTTAGATAAACTAAAAGAGTAAAAAAAGCAGTTTTTATCACTTGCATTGTAGATTCTTGTTACCTCTCTCTTTTGTATTGAACTACAATTTTAATTTTTTTAAAGAACACATTAGTTTTTACTTAATAATTTTCTTAAAGAACACATTAAGAAAATTATTAAGTAAAAACTAATGTGTTCTTTAAGAAAATTATTAAGTAAAAACTAAAGAACTCATTAATTTTTGCTTAATAATTTTCTTAAAGAACGCATTAGTTTTTACTTAATAATTTTTTTAAAGAACACATTAGTTTTTACTTAATTATTTTGTTTCATATTTTGTTTTCTTTTTTCTTTCCCCCTAAATTCTTCACAGTTTTTTGCTTATTATAATACTGTGCCAAATGTATATTTAGCATTAGTGCTATTCTGATTACAATGCTATTTTGTCCTTATTTATTAATTTTCTATCTTTATTAAATGTTCTTATTTAAATGCTATTTTGATATAAATTTATTTTTTCTAATCTTTCTCCTAATCCTATTTATTAATATAGCACTGCCATAGTTAAAAGATTTTTTTAAAGATTATTATGAAAATACCTGTGTATAAGTAATTAAAATTACTTTGTAACTATACGGTGATGCTAATCTGTGAATTTGCTGATATTTATAAGGTGAAAGTTATAGATCTGAAAGATCTGTTAATCAGTATTTTTTTGCAAGTTGACTAGTTATTGCAAAACAATTTTTTAAAAATTGTGAAAATAAGTATGTTAATCATTAATAGAAAAAAGGTTTACTGTTTTAGCGTTAAAAAAATATGTTCTAAGTTTTATCACAATTTTTAAAGAAATATATCATAGTTTTTATATTAATTCTTATTTCCCTTATTATTATATGTAAAGAATATTGAATCAGTGTTAAAATTTTGAAAATAAAACTTAAGTGCTTTTTGAGAATGTTGTACATGGAGCAAATTGAGTTTGCAATTTTTTGACATCTACTAAAAATTGCAGTAATAAAATGTTGTTGTGATTTTTTAAAAGTTTAAAGTGATTGAGTAAAGTTGAACTAATTGTGCCTTTCCCTAAAAATATGTCTAATAAAAAAAATATATTTGCTGTACTTAATGTATGTGTATGTGTTTGTAGATATTGAAAATTAGAAATGTTTAAATTTTTTTAAATGTTCATATTTTATTACAAAAGCTGTGCGCAAAGAATTCTAGCGATTTCTTATATATATGTGACTGAACTACTTATTAGTAATAACATTTATACGAACATTTAACAATAATGAGCTACCTATTAAATTTTAATCATTTATAAAATAAAAATGTATTGTGTATTAATTTAATTATTGTTTCAAGACTAGCATATTTGTATAGATATATACATAAAGAAAATTTGAGATTTAACCATAAATTATGTTTAATAACTTTCTAAATGCTATTATTTTAAATTTTTATCTCATCAATTACAATATGTATTAAATATTATTAGTTTCCATATTAACAGATCTGTTTAATAGTTAAAAAGTGTATATAGTTAAATTATTATTATTGTTACCAGACTAGAAGATTTGTTATAAAGGACTGTTAATGTTGAATGTCAAATGTAATAATCTGCTGTTGTCTAAAGATTAAAATCTTTGTCTTTGGGAATTATATTATTTGTAAAATTATGAAAACAAAATCAGTGGCAGTGATAAGGTAAATTATTGTATTTAAATGTGTCTTGTAATTTATTATACTCTTCTATTAAAGTATTTTTGTAAATAAGTGAGATTTGTTCTCAGTTTTGGTTTTGTCCCTCATTTCAATTTGACTAATTAAACTTAATATCTTAAAGTTTATTATTCTTAACTGTTTTTAATTTTTTTTATTAATATACAAATTAACAGGAATAATTAATTTAATATGAAGAAACTTATTTTTATTATTTTTTTAATTAGATATTTATCCTGAAACTTAAACCGTACTCTTTGTGAGCAAAAGTCATTTTTCATTTAGGAATTTTGTTGCTTAAGGTTAAAATAAGTGTAATAATAGTTGTTAAATTAATTTAATATGAGCTGCATTTTCTTCTATGTTTACTGCCACCTTAGAAATATATTTGAAAAATGCAGCGAAAAAATTTAGATTTTCCAAAATAATAGTATATGAAATGTATTTACTTGTTTTAATTATATTCAACTAGAAAACTAAATTTAAAATAACTCTTAAATAGTTCTGTGTTCTAGTTATTAGAAAATCCAGCTTAAGAAATAATAAAAATAATTCTTCTGTTCCAATCAATTTACAAATATATATATCAAAATAATTATATATAAAAATAAATTATAATACGTAATCTTAATTGTAATTTATTTTAGAACATAAGAAAAAATAAACTTTTTTCCTTTAAGAAAATTCCAAGCATTTTATAAAATTAAAGAAATAACCAAACGATGGCAGATAATTTTATGTATTCAAAAATAATAAAGGAAAGTGTTGAAATCATTCCTTAATGAGTAATTAAGTTTACTACCGTAATCAAGCATTGTTTATGGCAAAGCCTTGTCCTTTTCTTATGCTTTAGAAAGGCTCATTGGAGTGACATGCTTGTGGTGTAATCTCTTATTAACCTTAATTGTTATACAATTTGTTATACTTTTTAGCCACTTATTAATACCACCATGTTGGTGAAAATAATGCAAACATTAAGCCTTTTTGTATTTTGGTAATAGGGACGTCTAAAGTAAAGCAAGCATTCCTTCAACAGCCCATTGGGGGGTCATGGAGGTTAAGGCAATGTTATGACCAACGTCATGATTGTGGCAATGCGGTCAGTACTGCCCACAAGGGTCACTGGGAATCGAACCCCAGTTCTTCACAATGAGAGGTCAGGGCCTTAACCACAGAGTCATTGCGGCTGTATAATGACATCTGGTGCATTAAAATTAGGCTTATTCTTTAGAAAAATTAACACCTAAAAAATTTTTTTTATTGATCTAATGCTTTATTTTGTTATTGTAAATTGTAGCTGAAAACTCTTCTACTCACCACTAAATGTTTTTCCCTTTTTTGAGGGAAATGAGGGCACAGGCAAGTGAGGTGTCAGATTTATTATTTATCATTGAATGGAGCAATACCAGACGGTTGAGATGATCGGACTCATTGTTTCCAAGTTGGAAGGGTTTTCTTTGCAAAAAGTACTAGTTTGTACTTGTGCCTGTTTACTCGTCTAACATTTTTTTTCTTCTTTTTGGCTGTCTAGACAAGTTAATTATTGTGTTTTATGTATTTTTTGACCCAGAACCGAATGAGAGTGTTCTCAAGACAATAGATCACATAGTTCAAAAGTTGCAAGAGTTTTTTTGTATAGAAACCTCCTTCGACATGTGCTTATTTATACACTTTACATTGCTTGAGGTCTATCTGAGCATGTAAAGTATAATTTCCGATGCAAGTTGCATGGATTCTGTGTTCAGCATGTGCAGTGGCATAGTTTTGATGTATATTTAGAGGGGGTTTATCTCCTTTTGACATATNATTTACGCTATATATATATATTAATTTTTCTTTAAATGTTTAAATTACAAAAAGTAATAATGAAATATTTTTTTTAAAAACTACATCCTACTTATACAATAGTCATTAATCAAGTAATGTATAATTTTGTAGGAGTCTTTTGTTCCCTAAAACTACGCTACTCAACATGCACAATTATCTACTTGCACTTATTTATGCATCTTGAATTGCTATACGGTCAAGTGAGGTATTAGTTATGTATCTTTTCTCGCTTAATCAAATTCGATTTCATGTGAAAAAATACGTTAGGAGCAATGTCTCACTTTTTCAGGTAGCTATATTCGATGCATAAAAAGATACAAGTATCAATCAGTACGTTTTGTTCTTAAAACCCTTATAACTTCTAAACTATTTGTCCGATTATCTCAGGACTGGTCTCGCTCAATTCACCAATCGGAAACAATGCCTTACTTATCTGTCTAGAAGAAATTCAATCCACTCCTTCACATCACCTCCATTTCCCACAAAAAGGGAGGAAGAATTTATAATAACCTAACAATGCTTTTTATAAAATAAATTAAAAAATTAGGTAATTTTTCTGTTTTTTTTTTTTTTTTTTTTTTTTTTTTTTTTTTTTTTTTTTTTTTTTGCAATAATTACTGGAGTAACCTTTAACAATTCAAAAATGTGTTTATTAAAAAAGATGATTAACTTGAGTACAATAATGAAGCGAATTTTCAATAAATACAGAATTAATGAAGAATACTGGTTATGAATATGTCACATGCAGAAGAAAAGGTCCTCTTCTCCATCAACTCTCTTCGTGAGATTCCTGAAATAAATATTTCAGTTATAAACTTTGAATAGCATTTATTCATAAAAATGCTGTGGGTCGCTGTTATTTTCAAGACAGCCCCAAAACATTTTAAAGATTTCGAGCGGTATGGTAGTAAGTTACTTTTTTCGAAGGGGACATTTTTTAATCTGTTTCGTAAGCATTGTTTACTTCTCATTATTAAGTATTCTCACTAGATGGCAGCATAATGCATAAAAAAGTTTATGAAATACGTATTCATCAAAAACGATCTCTTGAGATTTAAAGTGATGTGACTTATCATTATATTTTCCCTTGCCCACAAATGCATAATACATTCTTAAAGAAAAAAAATATCTGTTTTCGAAATTATTTGTTAGACATATATGTACTCAAACAAAAATCTTAAAATCATATCTTATTTTTTAGCCAATTTTTGAAAATTATTTTTGGATTATTTAGCTCTTCAGAGTTAAAAAAAATAAAACTTCAGTTTTTCCTGGATGTCCTAGAATGGAATCTATACGTATGAAAGGTAAACTGCCACCCCCCCTCCCCGAGAAAGAAAAAAAAATGGTTACATTTGGAACTTCATGATAGTTTTGGTCTGTGTTAATTGTACAAGCATATTGCTTAAACAAATATATACTAGACTTTTGTGCTTTAGTATCAGGCTAGGAACTGTGATAACTATTCCCAGGACTGGAGAACAAGAGCTAGTAGCCTTCGAGTTTTTAAAATAAAACAGCTATAAAATTATAAGTATACATCGATTTATAAAAACTTACTTTCATTTGTGAATTTCTCGTTTCAAAGGGTAGGAAAGCTGCAGCTATTCCAGATATAAATAGAATACCTGCCATTAAACACATTGCAATTATTGGACTTTCAACGATCAGAACCTGAAATAGAAATTAGGCAATTTTTACAGGAAGTAAACTTAATTTTTTTTAAAAATTATTTTATGTCATCCTCTTTATATGTGCATGTAATGCGTTGGTACTATTTTAAGTAAGGTACGACTTCTAGAGTGTTAACCTTGTTTTCAATTTATTGCCTTTTACATTTATTATAAAATTTAAAGTATTTTATTTTTTATTCCAAGACCCTGTCTTTCGAAGGGTTTACCGAAGGGTCGATATACTGGAGAAAATTACTTGATAGTGGTAAGTTTCGGTTATCATGAGTTGGCTGCGAGCAATAGTATCATGCCGAGTGATATGCCCAATATAGTTTATCTGTCTAATGGGATGAACTACAAAAAACGAGTTTTACTTTCTTCAATAACGTAAAGCCGCATAATTTAGCTATATTAATTGAAAAACGTAGTGGAAGAACCAGGTAAATGACATTTTCAGAACGAAAAAGAAATTGTGTCCGAACTAGTATTTCATTACAAATTTATTAGAAGGCAAAACTAATATTCCTTTGCTTTATTTTATTTACCACTGCCTAATTTGAAACAAAAATTGGTCAAGCATACTAAAAACTGATGTGGATTAGTTAAGATTACAGTGAAGGTAAAAACAGTTCTGTTACATTAAACATACCCATATTGATGCAACCGCTTTATGTTATTTCTTCTGATTCATTAATTCCCCTAAAAATTTCACCTACTTGGTTCTTCCATCAAGCTCTTTAATTGTGTCGATGCTTTTCAGTTTAGGAGCATGACTTCGTAGTGTTTCTCAATACTGATCTATTGATTCTTTGCTTATTTTTTATTCACCCCGTGTGAAGAACAAGTATTCAACTTGCTTATATATTCTTCATGCGCATATATATTTAATATCTCTTTGTTATTAATCTCAATTTTTGAGTCTCAAATTTTCTCTCAATTTTTGTCTCAATTTTGTGAGTCTCAATTTTTTTTTAAAAAATGGTGATCTGCAGATCTAAAAATGTTTGGAACTGTTTAGCTGGTCTTTTCTCAACTTAAATATGAATATATATTCAATTGGCACAATAAATGAAGATTTTCAGGGTAAATTAATTAAAATATGTATATTATCCATTATTTAATGTTTGTAAACCTTACTTACTTGTGCTATAAAAGGAACAATTAAGCCTCCAAGTCTACAGAATGCCGTTCCTGTACCAATGGCCAAAGCACGAACTGTAGTTGGAAAAGCCTTTTACCAAAAAAAGAATAAATAAATAAATAAAAATGCATATCAACTTAAATATTTTAGAATATTATTAAAAAAAAAGTTATGCTGTAATTCTTTAAAAAATGTTTTTTATAGACGTGATTTATACATTTCTTGAGTTTGTTGATTGTTTGTGCCTTAAGTTTGTATAGTGTTTATTTTATGAGTTAAAGAGAAATACCAAAATGAAATATAAAACATAAGCATTAATAATAAATAAAAAAAAATCATTTTTAAAATATTTAAATGGTTTTGAACTGCATATTTAAAATATTTAAACAAAATCATTTTGTAAAAACAGATCTATAACCTACTTTTTACATTATATTTATGAAAATTTACCAACAATAGATAAGGAGTATCGTTATATTTAGGACAGTTATTACGCATAATTAAAAAACGATCCTAAATAATCCGAACTTATTCACGCATTTACAAAATATAACATAGGTAAAAATTTATCTTTACTTTCGGAGCCTCTCTCGGAAAATTATAATCCTCACCTTTAGTTTTAAACTGGAAAAATGCTTTTAAGTAAACATTTTTGGTTATTGCAACATCTTTTTACTTACCTCACTTGTCATGATGTAATTTAGTTGAAAAATCGATACTAATATTGCTCTAACTCCAAAGAGGATAATTAAAATCAGAGTTTTCCTGCAATATAAATTGTAAACTTTAAAAATACGCATACATTTTTATAAAAAATTTACTACTTGCTAATTGTATAGCAAAATACATTTTTAAATAATATTCCAATTGATAAAAATTCTTTTAATTTTGCAAAATGATTCGAACTTGACTATTACAGTGACATTTTTGTCATGTCACTTAATTTTAGAGTTCATAAATCCAATGTTATTCCAACTCTTTTAACTTTTAATTCTTTTTCGTTAACTTAATGATTTCTCCCAGAAATATTTTTATGACACAGTTTTTGGCAACGATTTAATGTGCAAATGTTGTTTCTTAATCGCTTCCCTTAATAATTATCTTTAGAAACCTAGTCAAGAATAAATGAAAGTTGCGACGTTGGAGCAGAGGACGAATATATACCCCCTGAATAATTAAGGGATTTTAAAAAAGTCCCCATTAATATTTCAGATAAACAAAAAAAAGTTTCAGCAATCATTATTAATAGAGCTGTCGTGGCTTAGAGGGGACAAAGGGTTCGAATCCCGCAACCGGCACGCATTGACCACAGTGCTGACGTAAAATATCCTCAGTACAGTAGTAGACAGATCATGGGTTAGACTCGCCTTGCCATTAAACTAAACGTGGAGGTTTTCGTGGTTTTCCTCTTCATGTAACGCAAATGCGTGTTAGTTCCATCAAAAAGTCCTCCACGAGGACAAATTTCTCCCTATACTTGGTCCTGGAGTTGCGTTGTGTTCTGGATAGGGTTCAAAATTACAAGGCTTCGGAGTACATTAGTGGTAAACCCAAAATCGGGTCGTGTGTGCAACTACGGTTATAAAATGAAATAAAATCATTATCGATTTAAATTCTACTAAGTTAAAAACAAGTTATGGCATTTTTTAAATATAATCATATAGCAGATATTTAGCAAATGAAATAATTTTTTCCTTCATTTTTGAAGCTTTATGTAAAATTTTATCGAACCATTGCTTCTGTGTCTTCCTCAAGAATTGAATGCCTAAGACGTGCATGTGCACATCTCAATGTTAATTTGATCATATTTATAAATACATGCTCAAATTATTAGGTAATCATAGAAAAAACGTTGAATATTTATGCAATAAAAAAACATTAAAATATAACGAATCATTAATGAGGGAGATGGTTTTCAAACAATGAAACCTATTTGATTGTCTGATTAAATTGAGATGAGATTATTTGAAACACTTTTTAGTAGTCAAACTGGTTTCGGTTTTTCTTCAATAGTGATTCATCAGATTTTGATAAAATTATTTCCTTTCTTTGAATATTACTTTGCAATCCCATTTACATGTGTATTTTCAAGAAAGATGCAAATATACATATGCATNTATATATATATATATATTTAGGAAGGTGATTACGGAACACCCTGTATGTTTTAAGAAACTGTAAAAAATTCTTGCATAGAAAAATGATGAAATTGATGCTACAGATAGAGAAAAAATACTTACTGAGTTTTCAAAAGAAGCAGCAGCATCAATATACTGCTAATAATGCATGAGCCACTCAATAATGTCTTTCTACTCAAACATTCAACCAGAAAAGTATAGACAACAAGACCTAAAATACATAATGTAAAGTCATTTACAAATATTAAAAATTATAATCAAATTAGGACTTAAATTAGCATTAAAAATTAATAACTTTTTTTTTAGAAAAATTTCAAATGTACAAAAGGTATTACCTAATCGAAAACTTCATTTGCTTCAAAAATGTACAAATATGAAATAACAGTCGACTCGTTTCAAGCGTTTCAAAAATAGGCGCCCATTTTCAAGACTTGCCAAACGTGAATGTACAAAGGATAGTTAAGCATTATTTGTCACAAGGATTACTGAACATATAACACGACAGTCTTCTTTGGAAGAGTTATAAAACCTCTGTTTATTGTAAGAATATTCGGCATTTGTGCGTATAAATGAATAGATAATTTTATTTAATAACTAAGAATCAAATTTTGAGTATTGTAAGAAATTGCAAAGCAAGTAGGCAAATTTTAAAAAATAAATTGGTTCTATTCAGATCTAAAATGTGTGTTAGAACAGATGTTTTTAAATAACTAAAAATTGATTTTTAAGTTGGGTTTTGCTAAAACTAGCAACGGAAACAAATGAATTTTTTTTAAAAATATATTTTGATTCAGGCCTAAGGTGTATCTTTGCATAGATAATCTTTCTAAGTAACTAAGAATCGATAATTGAATTTTGTCGAAACTAGCGAAGAAAACTAATAAATTGTAAGAAATAAATTTGTTCTGTTTCGACCTAAATGTGTTTTAGAATAGATAATTGTATTAGGATACAAAAAATAGATTTTCTAGTTGTTGAATTTGTCAAACCTTACAACGAAAACAAAAGTTAAAAAATAAATTGCCTGCATTCAAATATACTTTGATAAGAACAAAATTTTTCTAATTCTTCCTTTTATATATTCTTTGCAAACAGAACAGTTTTCTCAAAATTACGCGATTACACCCCTTTTTCCCTCTTCGTTACTATGTTTTCTGTAAGTCTTGCTTTTTCTCCATGCAAATACCCTATCCTGCAATAATGGAAGAGACATTTTCAGTTTTTGATATTTTTTTTTGAATTTTTCAAAAAACACTTAAGGGAATGTTTTGTAAATTTAGAAGTATTTAGTTCATGCGATTTTTCATACTTTGCAATAACACTTTAAGCTTTCAGCGGGTTGAGAGACAAACAATAAATTACGAAAAAAAAAACTATTTTTGAACACCCCATGCTAGAAAATCAAGAAATAAGCTTGTAACTTGTATTGACTACTTAGATTGTAATTTGCAATGCATAAATTTCTGTTAATCTAGCTTAAATATTTATGCAGATATGAAAATTTTTATGAAGAAAAAAATCTACTTTTTTTGTCTTATGTATTTTTCCTATAACTTTAAAAATATTAAGTAAATTTAAACAGCATTTTTAAAGCAATTTAAAATTAATTACAAAAGTATTGCTTGAAAAAATTTTTAAAAAATGCGCAAGATATGAGCATTTGAAGTAGTTCTTTTGCACTGCACATGCGCGGTAAAAATTTCAATTTTTTTTTTTTAATATAATTTTGTAGTGAATCGTATTCGGCACTAATGGAAAAAAGCTGATTTAAATATCTTAATGTAAAAGGTTTAAAGCAATTTTCTGAATAGTTTTTGTACTTTTTAAAAGAAAGCTCAAAATAATCATGACTTTTCCACACTTTTCATTATGTAGTATTGCAAATTACACTACCCTATAAATACTGCAGAGCAGAAACAAAATTAAATATGTGAAAAACCCCTTATCGTTTTGAGCTTTGTTTTAAAAAGTACAAAAACTACTAAGAAAATTGCTTGAATTTTTTTACGCTTTTAAGATATTTAAATCAAATTTTTTCCATTATTTGCCAAATAATATGCCGAAGACTGAGAGGGGAAAACCGCGTAGTTTTGGGACATTTATTCTATTTACAAAAAATAAATAAGGATTCTCAAAGTATAAGTTGAACGCGATGATTACTAACCAATGTATAAAAATATTGAAAGGTCCTATTTTTTTCGAGACTCGTTATTTATTATTATTTTTTTCTTTCTTTCAATTTTACCTGGAAGTTCCGCTGAGCTTGTCCATAGCAAATCTATGTAGTTCTGTCTAGTATATTTTGAGCATGGTACTGCAGTCATCATATCTTCATAATAAGTTGTATGAGTACTGTTACTTTCGGAAACTAAATAAAAACAAGGAGATTTAGTTTTCATTTATATGATTATAACTGTATAAAAAGAATTCTAAAAAAAATTATCAAACAGCAGCAGTCGCCATAGAAATTCATGCAATGACGACGCATGCGCACTGTTTACTATTACTCTTGAACACAGTTGAAAAGTGTGATGACGTCTCAATAAGGAGAGCACGCCATCAAACCCAGAACAACACCCATTTTGCCAATAGGTAATAATAACTCGATGTAAGGAAGAAAAACATTAATGATAATGTATTACAAACAAATATCTAAAAAAAAAATTATTGTATCAGAATTAAAACACAAATTAATAGTTATAAGAGAAAAATTCGATGTGTTTCCTTACGAAGCTTTAACTTTATGTGAGCATTGATAATTTTTTTTATTTATTTATTTATCTATTTTCTACTTTCTTGTATAAAAGGATTACGACATTAAAATCGACTACGAAATATTCTTTCGATCAAATTTCCTGTTTATGGTTATCACTGTAAACATTTTATAGTTTGCATTCTTCAATTTAGGAAAAAAATTAGTTCGTTCTTTTAGACCGTTATTCTATACGGTGTTTCATAAACACCGTCCTTAATAAACATTTTTTAGAATCCTTATCAAAAATGGAAGGAAAAAAATCATACACATATTGGATCACTAATTAATATTTAACCCCGAAAAAAAAACGCTATCGAAATTGGACAAATCATAGTAGCGAAAGGCGAACGTCATAAACAAGACAGGTTTTTGATTGCAAGGGAGAAATAAAAGAGAAATAGAAAGGTGATCGAAAGAAATATTCTCTAGCTTCGTCTTCCAATTAAACCTGCTTTGATGTAAATCATACACGCTTTCCTCTATTGTGATTTGAGAGATTTCGATATCGTGTTTGTTTTTTCCATGCTTAAATATTTAATTTGAAGATATAAGAGGGAAGACCAGTTTACATTCATTTTTCACAGAAATGACTGTTGGATCGACATTTGTTGCTTTTTCAAGATTCCTAAGTTTTGACAAATTAATAACGTAGAAAATCGGTTCTCCTTGACAGTTATTACTAGTGAAGATGAACCTCTGAAGAACACTTCCTCTCCGCGCGTAGACTTAGATAACAAAGAAAAGCGCAATAGTGAACACAACAGGAATACGAGTAAGGAAGTATTGATTCAGGAGGAAATCCGAAGAAAAACGGTTCACCTTTCAGAAATGGAGGTGTATATAAATATAAATTTTGCAAATTCAAATACGAAAAAAAATAACTCCTTCTACACAAATTTTTCGTTCTTTTGTTGGGGATTCATGGATTAAGAGCACAATTGTGTATATACATACAAAAGATTAAGGAGTAAGAGAGCACAGAAGATATGAAAAGGCTTTAAGAATCTATTGAGTGAGACTTTAAGAAAAATGATAGTTTTTGACTGTTCAGTGGCCGAGTAACTGTACCAGAACGCAGATCTGCGTGGGAAACAACGAATTCCTATTCAATTTCAATACTAGTTACAAAATTCATCAACAGATGGCACTGATATGTAAAAAAAAAACATTGTTTTCCTCAATTATTTTACTTGGAACAATATGACAATGGATAACAAAGACAACGTATTGTTTTATAGTCAACAGCGCTATTTGAGGACAAACTTCGTAGCTAGTTTTGAAATTTAGTTTACTTAATTTCTTTAGCACATTTTTTTAAATTAATTTTTTTGGGCCCATGTCCAAGAGTTCGTGGGTTCGAACCCCGCCGGCTGAAGACTATCCCGTGTAGTAAAGTGACTGATGCACGTTAAATCTGTCGAGTCGCAAAAGTCCTCCATGTTCCCATAACAAATCAATACGTCTGGGGGTACTGGATTGGAGATCAATCGTTCTCTGATTCAGGTCAAAATTACGATCTGTGGATGAATGAATGGGTCCGCCCTATAAACGGGTGCGGCGTATGGGCAGAAGTCGAATTCTTGTCCATAGATGGCGCCACTGGAAAACAAGAACAATCGCACCCCCTCTGCCTAGACAGGCATACGTCAACAACAACAAACGTCTGTTATTTTTTATACAATCGGGAAATATCTTATTGTTAATGTCTAACGCAATATTTTTGACTAAAAGACTTTTCAATCATAAATTTATAACAAAAAAGTCTTACTTTTCATGAAACTTCCTTTTTGAATAAGAATAGGGCTTAAAAGGGCGACTCCAAAGTACGCAAATCCAACGGCAAACCTGAACATTAAAAGTATATATAATTAGTGTAAGTTAAGATTATTTACCTTTTGAAAAAATATATATATAAGGTCCTGCATGTGTATATATATATATAACAAAAAGTTTTTGTATTCATTTATAAAATATTTAATCTAGCTTAGTAAAAAAGATTGGTTTTTTTTTTTACCAAATATAGCAGAAAAATAAGGTTGTTCTCTTGTATTCTTTTCTGAAAAGGTCCCCAATGCGTCCTCTACTTTTACCATAACAAAAGTAAGCCAGCTGTCCATCGGGAAGAGATACATTGTTCATGTCCGCCATTTTCTTTAAGATTTTGTCTGCTTCCTCAGGTTTGTTACTCACTAAGAAGTATCTGGCACTTTCTGGATACCACTGTTAATAATATCAGAAACGACAAAAAATAAATTAATATGTGTTTGACGATATTGTGTTCCCTAAATCAGCGATTCCCGATTTTTTTACAGTTACGGAACACTAAATGATTATCTTTTGACTGAAATAAGTAAAATGAGTAGCTGTGAATCGACTTAATTATTTCAAAACTATACAATTTTTTCTTAAAAAATTATTTACCCCGAGAAATTAATCTTGAGTTGCCAGCGAGAAATGGAACAAACATCACAGAAAGGGACCAAGTCGAACGGTATAACTCATAGCCATACCCTGGCAAACATCTACATGTTTTTTTTTTCTTCTTAGTTTTTCCAGTTCAAAATCAATTTGTCGCCTAGGCGATTGCAGTTGGCGTGGCAGATCACAATGCAGAAATATCACGAAGAATGATATTGATCAAACTTCATTGATTATTATTAATAATAACCGGTTAATATAATAAATTCGCTTAAACTATTCACTTTAACCGGCTTATTTGGTTATTATAACTTGGTTATTATAACCCAAATCCATTTCGGGCAACTACTGCGTGCAATATTTGTGATGCCCTAACTGATTTCGGACAGGAGAAAAATTAACGTTTCTGTTTTATGAAGCCCGAGCAGAGTTCGTTTCTACTTTAGGGTACTTAATTCACTATTTTCCTTATAGATGGCATTAGTGGTCCTAGTTTTTCCCCGATTACGACTTCAGTCGAGGGCGGGAAAATGTGGGTTTGAAATGTGGATCTAGGGAGGGAAAAGATTTGTAAAATGCATGTATTGAAAATCATATTGTTGTGTTTTTATATTATATTATGCTAGTTATATTATATTTATTTTCAAAATTTTGTTTAATTTGCTCTAATTGAATAAGATGAGCGTGTAATCCATTACTTTTTTATGTATGTAAAATTTATAAATGCAGTATTTATTGCATTTAAAATTTTTTGTAATAGAAATACTATTTTATAACTTTTATAATAATATAAAGAAAAAAATTAAACAATCAAAAAAAATTTCCACTTTTTAATCCATTTTTCTGAAATATATGTCACTGTTACGGGGTTAATATTAACCGGTTAGCATTAATAATAACCGACTAATCACATTGACCGTAAAATATATATAAATAAATAAATAATGATTATAATTTGCTTACTTTAATTGCAATGATAACAATCAAAGATGGTATAGCAGCACATCCTAGTAGTATTCTCCAGTTATCCAGATATTCCATAACTACCCATGCCAGCAGAATAACACCCACAGTACCAACAGACCAGAAATACTAAATTAAGATAGATACGCAATTTAAATATCTACACTATATTTCTTGTTAGAATAATCATAGCATAATTTTTTGAGCATTTTAAAACACAATGTTTAAAAAAACGTGATTTAATCAAATATTTATAAAATGCTATCTAGTTTCTAATGAATTACATATCGCCATTAATAAGGCAAAATATTAGGAACAGAACGTTAACATCACATCAATGGTGGGTGCTTTAGATTAGTAGTCGTCAAACGGTGGTTTGCGGAGGAATTAACAAAAGAGGCTTTTTGCTTTGGTAGTCAGAAGAACAAAATTGCCACTGGATTGTAACAAACCATACTACAGAAGAAAGCGACACTCGAAACAACTATATCGTTAAAAAGTATTGTAACTGGGTTTTACCAAATGTAGCAGAAAAATAAGGTTGTTCTCTTGTATTCTTTTCTTGGAAGGGCACCAATATACTTCCCCTTCTTTTACCTAAACAAAAGTAGACTGGAAAAAAAAGTTGTTTATCGGGAAGAGATATTCTGTTCATATCCGCCATTTTCTTTTTTAACTGCAGAGGAAAACTGCATTTGAAATGTGTTTATTATAAGCATTTTCAAGTCACATCCGGTAATCCGATTGATTTTGTCGTTTTTCATCCCACTTTACTGACTAGTGATAAAAAACATTTAGACTACGCATTTTATTCCTTCTCACTTAAATATTATTTCGTGACTTTTAATAAGAATACTTTTGCACTTAAAATTTGACAAGGAATATAAAATATATGTATTAAAGGCAGTGATTATAGAACATTCCATCTATTCTTTAATAACAGATAAATACAAAAAGAATTTAGCATAGATTTAAAAAAATATTTTGGGCCTCTGGCAGCTACAAGATTACGATACCTGTTTTCTATAGTTCTTAAATCGGTGTAGTATAATGGTGATTCTCACGAAACATGACAATTCACTGTCCCTTGCTCCGAGATCTAATACTATAATACTAAAAGAACTTTTTTTCAAAAAAAAAATAATAAATAGCATTGCTGTTAGCATTTTAAAATGACTTTGCACTAGCATTGACTGTTTTGTATACTTAAAAAATTTAGTTGAATATCAAAATGTCATTTTCCTGGCATGTCCCAAACAATATTTCCAATAATAACTAGCTTCAAAACTTCCCATACATTTTCAAAATCTATTTTTTTTATCTTATCCTATGTAAGCATTTCTAGAATATGCGCAGAGGGTATTGTTTACTAAAACTTCGTTTAAAATAATTTTTCTGTCAATAATTTGTTTGTCCCATGAAAATCTGTCATTTTCCTGGCTACTTTTATTTAGTGATTTATAACCAAAATAGATAGTGCCAGGAATCAATATCTGATGTTAATAGATTGATTAGATACCCACCTATCTGAACATGTCTTGTTACATGAATAAAGAACCAATTTTCCGGCTCAAAATCTATTTCAAACAATTTTTCAAGGGGAGTAGATTTTTATGCTGTCACTTTCCTGGCTTCGTGAAATCCTTAATAACAAAAACTACATAGATTTATCTGAGTTATTTTAAGAAATACTATTGTTTTCTGCAGAATATAAACGTCTTCGGCCAAAATATTAAATTAAAGTAAAGTTATATGCTATATATATGAGCAATTCTACAAATAAACGCCAATTAGGCGGCCAAAAAAAAAATAAAAATTTTTTGAGGGGGCACACTATTTCTAAATGAATTTTCTTCTTTTTTGCACCCTAAAAAGNTCCCCCCCCCAAAAAAAAACATTTAATTTTTGTTTGGCCGCCTAATTTGCGTTTATTTGTAGAATTGCTCATATCGTCGCCTTGAAACTAACCGTAGTAAATCGAAAAATGAGATATTTGGGTCATTTTGAGTAAAAAAAAAATCACCCTTTTAGAGAAACAAAGTGTTATCTTCATAGTTCCATAAAATTAATTTAGAGAGCAGATAAATCGTTATCGCATTGACGCGATTAGCATTAGCGCGGAAAGTTAAAAAATTGCTCTCCTGAAAAACTTGTTTTTTTGAGTTACCACGGTTTAGTTTCAAAGCTACGATATGAGCAATTCTACAAATAAACGCCAATTTTTATACTAAAATATAATATTATAGTATGAAATCTCTATAAATACATTTTAGAGAGTATAATAATATTATATTTATGTAAAAATCGTTTTATCTGAATAAATGGCTCAGATTTATTTGAGTATGTCAGAAAGAGTATGTCACATTTAAAGTATGTCACAAAGAAAAAGTTTCATGTTCACGATTTTTTCTTGCCTTTTTAGGGTGTAAAAAAGAAGAAAATTCATGTAGAAATAGTGTGCCCCCCAAAATTTTTAAAATTTTTTTTTGGCCGCCTAATTGGCGTTTACTTGTAGAATTGCTCATATATATATTATATGTTATATGTTATATATAAAATTTTAAGCTATTTTGAAGTTCCGAATCGTCATGTTTCGTGAGAATTACCCATAAATGACTTAAGAGCATTTATATTTTTATACTTAAAATAATTGAAAGAGGTATAAAGGTCTAACAAATAAAAAAAATACTTTCGATGAATCATAAAATTACTTTGAAACAATAAATGTTAGCTTTTATTTCCATTACTTTCGAAAAATACCAAAAATTACTTAAATATTCTATTAGTTTAATAAAAGTGGGGAAGGATAGAAAATTACTCACACACAAGAAAAAAGCCACTCTCCCCCGAACATTTGCAGGGCAGTATTCACTGTATAAAGTTAGTCTGAAATAGAATTATTTATATATTGCAGGAAGTGATTATTTAATAAGTTAATTAACAAATATGCGAGGTCGCTCGTAATTATCTTTCTATATTTGACTCGTAATAACAGCTAGATAATATAAATAAGGTAGGTTCTGTGTTGCTTGCTTATATTCTGGAAATAAATATTTGTTTACTATTTGCTTGTTAGCAATTAAGTGATTTTGTGGTGAACGTATCTACTGTTCGAACCCATGTATTTTTCTACTAAACGTACCTTCTATTTGAACCAACATACTAATGAACGCACCTTCTCTTTTTCTACTGAACGTACCTACTCTACGAACAGACTTATTTTTCTGCTGAGAATACCTACTGTATGAAGCTGCGTATTTTTTTGCTAAACGTACCTTCTTTATGATCTTATATATTTTGTACCGAAAGTACCCTCTGTACGAGTTTACGTGTTTTTCTATTTCACGTACATTCTGTACGATCTTACGTATTTCCTACTGAACCTACATACTGTACGTTCCTGCGAATTTTCTACTGAATATGCCTACGATACGATCCTTGCTTATTTTTCTGCCGAGCATACCTACTGTAGGTACCTATGCATGAACTTACCTACTTTACGAGCCTACGTAATTTCCTGATAAACGTGCATTTTGTACGATCCTGCGTATTTTTCTACTTAATGTACCTTTCGTACACTTCTAAATACTTACTGATGAGCGTACCTACTGTACTATCCTGTATATTTTCTACCTAATGTACCTACTATGCAAACCTATGTATTTTTTTCTGAACGTGTCTACTGTATGAACCTACGTATATTTCTGATGAAAGTACTTACGATTATTTCGAGTTTGCAACAAGTGTAGTAAAACAGAAACTACTTCGCAGCATTTGATTGATTGCGTTAACTTGGTATGACATACTGAAGAGACTTATGAGCATGTTTTGGATATATTTAAGGTGAATGAACTCGTCCCATCTGATCCAGATCAGAAGGATACGTATAGTGCGGCTTTCAGGAGAACTTCTCCAGACTGAAAGTCTGGGGCTGTCTGCTGCTATGGTAACAAGAGAGAGCACATTTCTAATGGGAGTGAAATGGAGGAAAGAAGGTGGCGATTGGTTTTTCTCAGGATGACTTACACTAGGATTAAGACAAAACTATTCACCCCACACCCCTATTCGAAGTGACCTTTCCTCGTTACCATAGTACCCACCACCACGCGAGGTGGGTGTCTAGAGGAGTTCTCCCGAAAGTCGCACTATATCATCACAGTACGAGTTTACTTATTTATTTACTTATTTATTTTTTAATATGCAGTTTAACGAAGACAAAAATCGCAGTTGAATTTGGCAGTGGAAATATTACTTTATTTACATCGCGCTAGGGCTGCACAATGGGCGATTGGCGACTGTCTGGGAAACGTTCCTGAGGATCATTTGTAGACATGCTATCACAATTTTGATCTTCTGCAGAGGGAATGGCTCTCTCGCTTCAGTATCTAGACGAACTCCACACGAAGTTGAGCACTCTACTGTAGAATAGCTTAACGAGGACTGATACTGCGCACCCTCGATTTTTTCAAATGGATCAAAGAGGTCACCCACCCGATCATTGACCGCAACTATAGCAATGCTCGTCTTCGGTGATCTGCTGGGAACCGTGTCCTACGACCAGTCCACTGTGGGGCCGGTAGATTTTGAAAACAGTGCTAAGTTATGTTGAAGCGTTTCAAAATAAAATAGGACTATCGCTAACAAGATTTATTCGAGAAGAACATAAAACCTGCATTTAAAGAAATTTGGACATCAACTAACAATAGAAATAAGCTATAATATTAAATTCTTCCCATAGCACTTTTTCAACTTACAAAGATAAAAAATTAAATAATTTACTAAGAGTTTAAAAATTTACTAAGATCCTCAGTATTCAATTTACACGAACCAAGACAAAATATGTGTACAATTTTGAATAGTACAGTGCGCGAAATGAAAAAAACGGACCACCTGGAATAACTTTTTTTTTAATGATCAGATCTTCACGTTCTAGTACTCAAAGTTAATGATTTGAGGAGATAACCTCAAATATGCTAATTATTTAGCTCAGGCGATATTTTTTGACTTTCTAAAATCTGACACAAAAACGTACTTTCTCTAAATAAACGTGCCGTTTATTTTTTAATTTTTTTTAATTTTTTTTTTTTATTGATGGATTAAGTTTCTTACTCCAAATATAGAGGATACCCGCAATTTGGGAGGTGTGGTCTCAATAGTTCGGCCAGGAGAACGGTCCCAAGGTTTGGACAAAGAATATATAGGGGAGCTATTAACTTATATATTCTTTTTTAACTTATATATATAACTTATATATTCTTTGTTATTCTTTGTAACTTATATGTTCTTGTCTTAACCTATATATTCTTTGGTTTGGATCCGTAAACATTCACTTTACTTTTTGCGTACTTCGTCATATCTCGAGAACTTTTTAAACGAATTGGAAATTTTTTGCATGCAATTATAAAATTCGTTTATCCTAAGATAAATTTTTTATTAAAAAACTCTTACTAAATATTTATTTTTTCTTATTATTTTATTTAATAATAAGTCAAAAAAATTTTGAAGTTTTAGGTAAACAATTTTTCACAAAATTTTAAAGAATGTAACCTTATATGGCAAAATGCAAAATTTTAGTAAAATCGGTTGAATAGTTCCTGAGAAATCAAATTTTAAAAACATGACCTTTTAAGACTTTGATTTCTTTGGTTCGACCGGTTTCACTCAAATTTGGTATTTTGCAATGTAAGAATATTGTATACCTTACTATTCAAAATTTTTTCGACTATTGTTAAATAAAATAATAATAAATAATTACTAAAAGTTATTTTTTGCATAGAATTATGTTTGGATAAACGATTTTTATAATAGTGCGCAGATTTTTTTAAATTCGTATAAAAAGTTCTGAAGATATGGACGCAAAACCTAAAATTAACATTAAGGGGTCCAGGTCTTAACTTTGGACCACTCTCCTGTATAAATTATTGGGACCATACTTCCCATATTGTGGCTACCCTCTCTATATTTTTCTTGGGGGAAGGGGTCAGAAATCAATCTAAAAATGTTTATTTTACAGAAGAAGTCCGTTTTTGTGTCTGATTTCGTAACTTAAATTATCGCTGGCAGTAATTAATTAGTATATTTGAGGCTGCCCCATCGAATCATTGAGTCCTAGAATATGAAGACCCGATCATTTAATCAAAAATCATTCAGGGTGGTACTTTTTTTGCGAGCTGTTTTCTTGGTAGGTAGTTTGTTGATATGATTTTATGATACATTATATGTATCCAAATAATCTCAATAAAAATATAGAAGTTCATTCTTTTAATTCTGCGGCAGAAATATATTCATAATATAAGTTTTAAAATGCATTACATATCCATTCTTTTAATGATATGGCAGAAATATATTTGTATCATAAGTTACAAAATACATCATTTTTAAAATATATGTCCCACTTTTATGCATGGACTATTTCCACTTTCTCTTTTACATTTAAGCGGTAAGGTTTATTTCGAAACATTTAACATAACATGTTTTTATAATCTGCATTATTAAAATTAGCATCAACATTAATTTATTTTGGCAATAACAATAATTATCATCATCATAACAGTATACACCAATAACAGTAATTACTGTTGGTTCATTTCTGAAAAAAAATTGTGAGTGCAACTCTGAGCATTGCTCTATTATATGAATATTGCAACTATGAGTACATTAAATAAGCATATTTTGGACCCCTTCCATTTTTTGCTGACAAGGATGTCAGCAAACATAAGCAAAACACAAACTTTTTCCTGTCTCAAGTAAGAAGGTCGCAAAACCCTATGTTTTTAGTCTTATCCCTGGTTTCCAATCTACTTTTAGCATTAAATTTAAATAGAAGTATAAATTTGAACAAGATAAAAGATTTACGTTTTAATTTATTTGACAAAATTTTGAATAGGTCATTATTTAGAAACGTTTTGCAATTCCCTTCCGCGGGAATAAAACGTTCGATCCCTAAAACTCCTGAATGTAAATGTTTTCCAACTTTTTATGACTCTAAACTTCCCTTTCATTTGAAATCGTTCCAATTGTAATTCTTTTTCACTTATATTTTCATTATTACATTTTGAAAACAATGGGATTTCGTAGTCTTACTTAAGTATTGCTTGTACTCCATCTATTTTTTCAGCAAAATTAAATAAATCACAACAACCCCCATAGATGTTTACGTAATATTTGGACGGCCCCTATCCAGTTTAGATATATGCACGTTGGCGGGTTTTCATGCGCATAGTTTAGTAATTTTTAAAGTTACACAGAAGTCAAGGGGACTCCTCATTGAAAAAGAATCCGTATTTACATACACGAAGAGAAAAAAATCTCCCAATTTCATCTGGTTAATTTCTCGTCGACACAATAGACAGTGCCAGCACAGAAGTTCTCGGTATATATTTATATAGAAGTTCATGGTTACTTGTGAGTGTTAATAAAAAAAAACTTACCCCTGTCCAACACCACCTAGAGCGAATCCTACTAAAGCTCTGAGTACAACCATCCAAGTGTAGGAAGGAGAAGCTGCACTAGACACCCCGAGAATAAAAATCATGATGGACGACAAACCGAGGCACTAGAGACAATATTACAAACAAATTATCTTATTCAGGATTCACAAAATCTTTATAATGTAATAAATATTTTCATGAAACCTAACTTTTTTAATAGTTAAATATCAGGTTTTAACAATAATCAATTCAAACAATTGGATTAATATTTAGGATGGTACACTATATGGACTAGGACACTAAGGATACAAAATATTTATTACATGTAAAATATTTTCATGAAACAAATGAACTATAGATTCAAGATATAGATAATAACAGAGCTACATCCCTGTTATCATTGTTGTATTCAGCTTTAATAATGCAGTTACGAGCCATAATATGTTATAAAAAGGTTTTATAGTTAGGCTGGTGGTTATATCAGTTCACATCCCCACTCCACAAGGGAGGGGGTGTGGAAAAATTTCCGGATGGTTCCGGTAGATGCTTATTGGAACATGTTTTTCAGCAAGAGACATGCGAAAATCATCGGTCTCGAAATTAAAAACTTACAAATTTTGATGTAAACAGGTTCCAATCGTACATACCTTTGTAACTCTACGCATAATGGAAAATCATTTAATGCTTCATAATAGGGAAGTGAAAGAGGAACAAGATTCTGAAAATAACTCCTCCTTTGAAATATAGATCCAATTATGATTAGTAGTTGGTCGCAATTAAAATGTAAGCATTTATTTCTTTTAAAATTTGTTACTTGAACTAAAGAAAAAGTCAAGAATCAATTTTTTTTCTTCAAAATTTAAGAAACTGCTAACAAGGGATAGCGGGAACGCCACTGGATTGGAAAATCGCATTCCGGGCATTCTTACCCTTCTGGTTCAATAAGTGACCCTGCGTATTTTATGTTTTTACCCTTTTGTGGTGAGCAACCTTTTAAGAAGCCTTTTCTTGCAATAAAAAATAGAAGTGGTAAGTAAAATATTTCAATTGAAATATCTATTTGTAGACAGAATTAAACATATAATTATGTCTATAATAAGATACTTTTAATACAATAATGCAATGTCTACAAAAAGATACTCATGATAGAATTGTTTATAATCGGATCTTATTCTCCTTTTTTAACGCTACAGCTCACAGTGAGCCTTGATTTCTTGTAAATTTTTACTAACCTTTCTGCTTTTAACCCTATGTGGATTTGGAGTATTGCTATTTTTGTAATAGCACTTTTTTAATCATTGCAATAATTGTGGTCTACGTTCCTAATTCAAAATCTGGACAAACGAATTCTATAACTGTGTGCCAACAGTTTTCGACTCCCGATGGCTGAGCGTTTCGTGCTATCGTGCCACAGGTCCTGGGTTCGATCCTCGGGCCGGGCAAGGTTGACTCAGCCTTTCATCTCTTCAGTGGGCCGATAAATGAGTACCAAGCATGCTTGGGAACTAAACACTGGGGGTTTCGCGTTCGGCTGACAGTCTAACCGGAACTGCTCCTGCAACCCGGAGCCCAGAGTCAAGAAAACTGAGATGGGCACAGTAGGTTTTGGCCCTCCATGGTCTGTCGCGCCGCTGAGTTTAGAGTAGTGCAAACATTTTTCCATTGTTTTAGAAAGTTCTCGAGATACGGCGAAATACGCAAAAGATAAAATTAACATTGCGGAGTTCAAACTTTTGNTAAAAATTATAAGTGGTAAGTAAAATATTTCAATTGAAATACCTATTTGTTGACAGAATTAAACATATAATTATGTCTATAATAAGATACTTTTAATACAATAATGCAATGTCTACAAAAAGATGCTTATGATAGAATTATTTATAATCGGATCTTATTCTCCCTTTTTAACGCTACAGCTCACAGTGAGCCTTGGCTTCTTGTAAATTTTTACTAACCTTTCTGCTTTTAGCCCTATGTGGATTTGGAGTATTGCTATTTTTGCAATAGCACTTTTTTAATCATTGCAATATTTGTGGTCTACGTTCCTAATTCAAAATCTGGACAAACGAATTTTATAACTGTGTGCCAACAGTTTTCGACTCCCGATGGCTGAGCGTTTCGTGCTCTCGTGCCACAGGTCCTGGGTTCGATCCTCGGGCCGGGCAAGGTTGACTCAGCCTTTCATCTCTTCAGTGGGCCGATAAATGAGTACCGGGCATGCTTAGGAACTAAACACTGGGGGTTTCGCGTTCGGCTGACAGTCTAACCGGAACTGCTCCTGCAACCCGGAGCCCAGAGTCAAGAAAACTGAGATGGGCACAGTAGGTTTTGGCCCTCCATGGTCTGTCGCGCCGCTGAGTTTAGAGTAGTGCAAACATTTTTCCATTGTTTTAGAAAGTTCTCGAGATACGGCGAAATACGCAAAAGATAAAATTAACATTGCGGAGTTCAAACTTTTGTCCGCTCTCCTTGTCCAGTTGGGACCATATTTCCCAGACGGCTATCCCATGAATTTCGGGGCTCAAAAATCAAAATCGGTCCAAAATAAAATATCTTTATTCAGAGAAAGTTCATTTCTGTGTCTGATTTTGCAAGTTAAAATCTATCACCTGCACTAATTAATTAGCATATTTGAGGTCACCCCATCGAACCGTTGAGTTGGAGTCTTAAGATGTAAAAATCCGTTCGTTAGATCAAAAGTTATTCAGGGTGGTCCGCTTATTTATTATTATTTTTTTTTGTGCACTGCACCATAAAAATGAACACAAAGAGAACCTTACTATTATACTTTATTATTAATTTAAAATAAATTCCTGAAGTCAATTTTAAAGAAACAATAAGCTGATACAAGTATTTTCCGGCGTCATATTTAATAAATTACGAAGTTACCTCCATTTGTGGGACCTAGAGATAAAAAAAAAGCTAACTATAACTGCTTATATTGAATATGCGATCTGGTTGGCAAAAATGTGTGCTTTTTTCTTCCTTTTTTTATTTTTTTTTGTTCAACAAAAAAAAATAATGTATTAAATAAAATATTAAAATTTTAACAAAGAGAACACTTCTACTAAAAAGTTTCTAAATTTAATCTATCTCTAGAAATTATACGTTAGATCACTATTGCGTTTATTGAATTACAGCTATTGAATATTTTATTTTAGCTTACAGCCCGCGTGGAGCCACCGACTCAATTCTGAGTTAACGACTATCAATGTTCAGCTCCGTAGCCATGCAATTTTGAACCCAACCCAGAAGACAAGGGAACTCCTGGATCAAACATTGGGACACACTAGTCTTCGTGGAAGTCCTTTTTTTTATCGGAACTAATCTGCATTTCTGTTGCACTGAGCAAAAAACCACGAAAACTTCCAGGGTGAACCCGCTGACATGGAAATGATCCAATCTACCACCATATTTTACATCAATATTATGGTCGGTGCCAGCCGGGAGCAGAATTCGTATCAACCAGTTATCCTTCGCTGGGATTCGAATCTGAGTTATCTCTTTGGGATGAGAACGCTACTTCTCCTGAGCCACCGTGACTCAGCTATTGAATATTTCCATATTTTGGTAAATTGAATAAAATTTAAATCACAAAGACTTCAACTAATTATCAAATCAAAAATATATTAAAATGTTATTAGAGAACTTATTATTAAAAAAAAACGGAAAAAAATTATCAAATTTGATTTTAATTTCGTTCTCAGGAAGTACCGATTCTCTCTCTTTTTTGGTAAAGAAAAAAAATTAGAGTCTAAAAAATTATGTTTTTAAAAATTTCATTATTATTTTAACCATTTAAAATAAAAGCGTTAAAAAAGAGCAAAGGCATTTTTTGTCCTAAAAAAAGTAAGTTATTATTTTTTTGGTGTCAAGTAAACATATGTGATATGTTATATCTTCTTTGATATTAAATAGAAAATATCAATCAATCTTGTCAATTCTAAAAAAGCTTCATTCGAACTAATGCTTTTCATGTCGCTTCTGTCTATTGAAAAACAGTAATTACATTCCTTTTTTTTACATTTAATTCTTATTGCTCGTCTAAAGTTTTTTTATTCTAGACATCTTTAACTATGAATAATTCCTAAACTAACATTGTGCCTAGCGCCTGTTAATACCAATAGATGGCGTTAAAATAATGTTTTAGTTCAGAAAAGTTTCGGTTTCGTTTCCCGTGCATCAGCAGAAAATCGACCTTGAATTGATTAGATACGCAGACGAGAATTGGCGGAGTGGCGCTTTATCAAAGATCGTTATTAACTCCTAGTTTTTCTGTAATTTCGTGTCATTAGTACACAAATATTGGAAACTTTTTGTATCATTCTTACAGTAATTCAAGATGAGTGATGTTTCAGGGAAAAGGATTAAAGAAATCCTGTATTTAGCTGCTGAATTCGATGACAACATGGACACGGATTTATTTAAAGTAATCTCCATGTCTAGCATTTGTAGAATATTTGATTCGAAGCAGCTGCGTGATGTCATTGGCGGAATTTTGTCTCTCTACGCTCTTATGAATAGAACATTGTTAGAAGATGAAGTTTTCCGAGACTCCTTACTGAACGAAGGATTTCAGCTAAATGCACTAAAAATCCGAGGTAAATCTGATTTATCGAACTATATTAAATTCGTAGATCCTGAATTAAATTCTAAATTTTTACTCTATTTGGATTCCGAAAATGCTCGTAATGACTACGCTCCTATACGTATTAGAAGGGTTTCGAACATTTTTAAAGAGCGTTTTTCCAATTTAAATTTTTCAATTGGCTTTATTGTTGCATTCACCGGTTTGTGCCTATGTTTGATGTGCAAGAAACTAACAAAGTACAACCATTTCGGATGGGTTAGACAGAAATGGAAAAGCTTTCTTGGAACAGTTGGACTAGATCATCAGTTTTCAGAATGTGGACCGTCTTACCATTTGATGCCAGGATTAAATACATGCAGTAAATTGTATACATTTTTTAAACAACATCGTGAATTTAGACGACGGCTTTATCTTGGAATTATGAAACTGTCATGGGAATCAGGATTGTGGGGAAATATGTGCCGAGCTGTGCTTCGTTTTGCCAAAGGATTAGAAATAAACCATATAGTTTTGATCAATACTTACATATTGCAAGATCATCCTGAATTAACTCATGTTGAAGAACTGAAATCGGAATTTCGAAAACTTCAAACTGCTTTTCGAGTTTTTCGGAAGGAGACGATTCCGGAAGAACAATGGCCCTACATTCAAATAATGAATAAAGTTCCGAGCGATATTTGGAGCAAGAAAAAGTTTCCAATACTGAGTTATCTATCTGTACAAATAGGTAAACGTATTCGAACAAATTTGGAAGATTACCATTGCGAATTATCGTCTGAAATGCAGGATATAGCAAATAGAATCATGGCTGAAATAATCAATTATGATTCTGCTTCTCAAATAGCACAGACTCCGTCTGAAAATAGCTTGGGAAATATAGCCATATTGTCTAATATGAGAAATGAAGAATTTCCCGAACTTTTTGAAATGAGTGACATTCTAGAAAAATCTCTTTATGCACTAAATGGTGTACGTAATTTTAATAAAGACGACGAGGATTTGATTTTCTTACCGAATGCTATTCCATGTTCTGAGATTAAGTATTTTAAAATATCTGAAAATGTGGATGGTGAGCTGCATAAAATCGTCTGCCTGTTGAATATTTCCAGAATTTATCAGAATGAATGCCTTTCAGAGGTTATTGGTGGAATGTTATCTCTTTTTGCTGCTGTTGATCCCGCAACATGGTCTGAAGAAGAAGACTGCAAAAAATCTCTGAAAACTCACGGATTTGAACTCTGCGAAATTCTTATAGAATCTGCAAACGATTTGGCCAGCCATTTTGTTTTTGAGAATGATGAACTAAACGAACTGTTTTTGAAGTTCTTAAACTTAACTTCAACGGATATCAGTTACTCAGTCACGATTAAACGTAATGATTCTGTGTGCCAAATGTTCAGAGGTTTATTTTTGAAAACATTAGCGATACCAAATATTTTTGCTTACATTGGAATGTATTTGCTTCCGATTTTTAAACAACTCGATGAAAATAATTATGATAGCTGGCTTAGACACAAATGGGTCACTTTTTGTAGATTAACTAATAAGTCTGTTATCGTCTCATTTTCGAATATACTTCTGCCTTCGCAAAGCACGTGCATCAACATACACTCGTTTTTTTATTCCAATTTTGAACTACGAAGAGCACTATTTTTAAAATCTTTGAACTTCTTAAAGCTTTCAGATCCGATACGTTTCATATTTTTAGTGATTTGTCAAAACGCTAAAGAAAGTGAATTAACTCACATATACTTGATTAACTACTTCATACTACAACAAAATAAACATTTGTTAAAGATGAAAGAATTGAAACCTGAACTTGTAAGATTTATGCGCGCAATAGAAAGTATTCGATGTATGTTGCCATCCGTCAATTTTGGTTGGCTGTATATAAAACTAATTAGTCACCCCAACGAAGTGGAATTCTTAAATAAAAATCATTTCCCTCTTCTCTTATATCTGTCAGACACAATTCGTGAAAGCGAAAATAAACCAAAATATGCTGGGGTCGCTGCAGTAACTGAATACTTTAAAAAAGTCGAAGAATCAAGAAAAAATTTCAGCAAATTTTATAACAATGCAATGACTGAAAAAAGTATTAAAAAATTTTTCGAACTGAAATTTCCAAACGGAGATTTATTATCTTCATTAGAATATGAACAGTTGAAACAGCTAACAATTAACAGTTTGCTATTTTCCACTTGTCACGACGAAACATTGGGGATAATTCCAGATGACAAAAAGAAGCAAATCATGGATATGTCTATGGAGGAGGTGAAGGAAAAATATGAACATTTTAAGTAAGTAAATTTTTAACATTTTGTTATAGTAATGTGACTAATTATTAAGACATTTTTAAATAGATTTAGGAAAATTTAAAATGTGAAGTATTCTTAGTTTTTGTACTGTTTCATAAATTAATACGATTTTATGAATGTTGTTCCGTAATTATCATCATTAAATAAAGTAAAATGTATGCATTTAAAGTCGAAACATAATATTTAAACGAGAAATTAACATACGCACTTTCAAAATGTGTCTAATCACTAGTGAGGAAAGTAGTACAAAAACATCAAAACCAGTTTACTTGATTGTGATTCTTTGATGCGTTTTTAACAATCTCTTCTTAACTCCTCTGCTTTCTCCAGAAATCAAACGTGTTTTGATGTTTACAGTACCGTTTTCCTTAGATGTAAATCGGCATATTTCTATGGAGTTATCGTTTCTACATGGCTTAAACGACTTAAAAAATCGCGATCCTTATTTTGAATTCAAAGGATTCTAAAAATATATACTAAAATATAAATGTAATAAAAATATATTTATATGTAAAAAAATATTTATAATTAAATATTGTGCAATAATGAAATGTAAACAAGAGGTGATCAGAGTGANAAAAATCGCGATCCTTATTTTAAATTCAAAGGATTCTAAAAATATATACTAAAATATAAATGTAATAAAAATATATTTCTATATAAAACATATTTATTATTAAAAAGTGTGCAATAATGAAATGTAAACAAGAGGTGATCATTACAGTATATCATAAAACGATCGGTGCTGAAAGAATTAAAAAGTTGTTGGGGAACAAGTTTTTTATATATATCTAAATGCTTGGTTGAAAGTCAAAAATTGTTTGAAGAAAATAAAACATTTTTAAAAAAAATTGCAAATTTAAAACTTATTTTGCGCCTTGGCAATTGTAGTTGGCATGAAAGATCACGGTAGGTAAATTTTTTCAATTATTACCATTGTTAAAAACATTAAGATGTAGAAAAAAATTAATATTATTTAACTCTGTTGAAACAAAATTGTTAATATAAAAAAAATGCTATTGTTTTATAAACTACTTTAAATAACAACTGCTAAATAAAATAATTAAAAATAATTGTGCTTAAACTTTGTTTCATTGAAATTTTTGCGTCCGAATTTTAAAAAAAATATTAAATGATTTTTTATTATTACTCATGAAATTATCTTGTATATAAACCCGGATAGTTTTTTTTTTTTTAAATAAAAAAAAAAAAAAAAAAAAAAAAAAAAACAGATTTTTTGAGAGTAGAAGCACATGCTCTTCTAGCTTCCCTCTCAACGGTGTATCTATGCCCCAATAATATAGTTAAAGCCTCAAAAATATATAGATAAGAAATGACAGGCGCCATGTTTTCAAACTATCGAAAAGAGGCGCCCATTTTTCTGACGTTAATGAGAAAAAAATCAAAGTGATTTGTAATATGAAACGAAAAGTCACCAACGAAAAACGGAAAAATAAAGGTAAGAAACAAAACAAGAAAAAAACACAGTAGCAGAGGGGAGCAAATATGGGCAAAATGCATTTCTGCGTGCTATGGAGAGGTGACTTAGGAACAAATGTCGCTAACAAGGGCATCAGTATTTATAGGAAAAATTTAATTAATCTTATGAATAATGTGTATTTTAGAAGCAAAAAAAGTTTTTTAATCAGCTAATATCTTATCGCTCAGTTTCTAGTCATCATTTATTTTATAATAAATATTTGCTCTAATTTGGGATACTAGCTCAGACAAAGATTATTTTGTTAAAAAAATTATATAGTTTTTTTTTTTTATCGATAGGTTCTTGTCATTTAATAGCCCTTTTTGAAAACGATTTTTGGGTTATCATTCTGACTTTAAATGACTTAATTTGGAAATATTTGGGGAAACCGAAACACATTTAATGCAAACAACTTTGAATTATTAAAGAATTACATAATTTCCACATGAATTTCACAAATTGATGGATTCTGAAGGATCAAAAAGAGACGTTGGACATTTTAATTAAAATTCTGTTTTTCACAGTCATTGAATTGATGTACTTTTATCATTAAACAATTTTGAAAAAAATAAAAAGATGTCCCTTTGTTTATTTAATTTAAGCCGCTTCTTCTGACTACCAGATGGCGACTGGTTATTTTCATGTCTACTTTGCGAATAACATTTTCTGAAATATAAATGATTCAGCTGTCAATTTTTAACTGGTTTCCGTTTCCTGCTTTAGGTTCTAGAGCAGTGTTTCCCAAAGTGTGGTAAGCGTACCCCCAGGGGTACGTTTCCCAAAGTGTGGTAAGCGTACCCCCAGGGGTACGGAAATCAATTTTGCGGGGGTACGCGTTCGTGCGCGAAATATCTTGCAACAAACGAAAATTTTCATGTAAAAGGAAATCCAGCCATGAAAATTTACGATTACGTATATTTCTTTTGGCTATTGTTGCAGAGTTAACAGTTAATAATTAGTGGTGCCAACAGTTAGTTGTGATTTTTAACTTTTGTGCGATTTTTTTAACAGTATAGGTTTTTAATAAATTCTACTTATTTTGATTATTTTTTATAAAATATAATTTTTATCCCTAACTTAGAATTTTTTACCAAAATGTAATAATTTTTTACCGAGAACTTTGTACCAAAAAAGAAAAGTAAACATATTTTCAAAAAAATACATTCATTTTTTTATCAGTGGTATACAGCGTTACGAAAAATTTAGAAAGGGTACACAAAATTCATAAGTTTGGGAAACACTGCTCTAGAACAGTGATTCCCAAATTTTTTTTTCGCTGTTGAATGTTGATTTTTGTCATAAATAATAAAGTATCTAAAAACAGTTGTAAGGGTAACAACCAATCAAAAAAAACTACTTTATTTATTTGAAATTATTTAATAAGAGGAATTTCTTCATAGTTTTTTTTTTTCATTAGTAATCTTAAATTAGGTTTCATATCTGACATTTGAATTCGAACCCCTGAATCTATATCTAATTTTGTTTGAAATTTAGTTTTTGGTGTAATTATATAAACTGAAAATGAAATAAATAGGACAGGTTATGGTTTTCGTTCATAAGAAGCCAAAAGAACAGCTATGAACGATGGAAATGGTTACCAGGGAAACATATTTTTGTTTTTTTATCAACGAAATATAATAATTTTATTTTAATTTGAAACGCGCGACAGGAAATATTAATGCAGTTTTTTATAAATGCAGGTCCTTTTCATTATTAGTTCGATGTTGCTATTAGAAAAATATTTTTTTTTTTAAAGGCATGTTTTTTTTAAAAAAAATATGACAGACAACGGAACTTTATCGCTTCGTAATTCTCTCTTTTGTTTTGAATAAATGAAGATAACATTTAATAAAAAATTTAACTGAGGGACCGTTCACTAATTGAACAAAGTACATAAGGCTTCCTATTCATCTTATTGTATTTATTTTTTTTTTTTTTTTAAATTTTCAGTACTCTTTTTACTTAATGAAAAAAGTCAATCAACATTTTAATAAAATGTCGATTTCTGATCTCTAATGAATATTTTCAGTATATGCAGTAACAAATCTTATGATTGAAATTAGTCATTTCAAAAAATTTAATTACTCTCTTTATCATTTAAAAACAATTGATATTAAGAATTCAATAACAGCAGAATTATCAAAATAGTTAATTTAGGGGAAAGACCATATATTAATTATCTTTTGGCAAAAATGTTTAGTTAGTCAAAAGCTATGTTTTTTTCCCAAAATGATTGAAATTCTTTTTTTAATTATTTAATTTATGAAATCTTGAATCCAATTGTTAATTTAAATAAAGTATTATTTTTTTAAATTAGAGGGACATTTAATCCAAGATTTTTTAGGTACATAATTAATTACCCATTTTTGTAATTTTTACATATTTAAGTAAATATGTTGGTTGCATTGAATTAACAATTTAATTTAGGAAAGTTTTAACTGGAAATATTTATTAATTCATGTGTAATGATATATTTTTTCATTGTATGAGTTACTTTTCTTATTAATTCACAACGCATCTTTATTATAAGAAAGTGTTAAGATAATATGGAAAATTGATAAGTTTGTGTTTAAAAAGAGTTTAAAATTAAAAAAAAATTTTTTTTTTCAGTTACTTTCATGTTCTTTTTCCCGTTACAATTTCCGTTTTCTATTATTATTTGTCTTAAGAATATTTTGTTATAATTAATTTAAATGTGCCGATTCTGATAAACTTTAATGTTTATTAAGACTATTTTTTTTATCGAAAATAAAGTAAAATAAAGTACTTTTGGTTTTCTGAGCTTGAATTATCTGATGTTTATTTTATTATGTTTATTTTTTGTATTAAATATAATTTACATTTTTATTAAATATAAATTTCGTTAAAATTTTCCTGTTTTCTTAATTTTTCATTATTTTCTGAAAAATTATTTAAAGTTATTAAAAACTAATCTTATTATTCATAAAAATTGTAGTAGCAGTAAACTTTTTAGTTTTTAGCAAAGACGTAAATTTTTATAGTATTGATATACTATAAAAATTTACGTCTTAATTTACTAAAATTTACGTCTTAATTAAATTTACGTTACCATATTATATTTCAAAGAAATCAATATAAAAGTAATTTTTAATATTTAATTGATTTCAAATTGCTTTAAGATTTTAAAATAAATTTGAACGTTTATTCATTATTTAAAAATTTTTACAAAATTTTATATTGAGTGATTACCGTAGAAAAACGTTCAAAGAACCTGTGATGAAGAGAAAAAATAATTTTTAAAGCTGGTCAATCATTATTTTTCCTTGTAAAAATTCTTTTTAATGGATTGATTAATATAAAGTTTGCTAAAAAAATTAGAATCAATAAAAGATGGATTTTAAAGACATTTTTCATACATTTAAATTTTTATTTATTCTTTTAAAAGATTTCTCATCTTTTGCTAGCATTAAATTTTATTATTTGTCAATAAGGTTAAATTGAGTTTGGCATATTGTAAATGGTACTAACTTCCTTAATAAAACCTGCGTTAAAATTGTATTATTCAAACGCTACATGCCACGTCTAATAAAATTATTCTTCATTCTTGTAGGAAAAGCTCTATTATTATGTAAGCTCTTCATGGGGAAGAGCTTTCTTCTTTCATATTTTTGCGACAGATGACAAGTATGAGTAATGCTCAAGTAAAAAAGCAGATTCTGTTTACCTAAAAAATAAAATCTTCTAAAATTGTAAAATTTATTAAATTTGGAAAACAAATTAATTGCATTAGAATAATTTTTTTTAATGCCGGCATGCATTATACGTGCTTTATTTATTTATATGACAAGAAGAACTGGGGTTTAAAAAGATAAAAATTTTAATTACGTGATTGTTATTAAGAATTAAAACAATCAGTTTTTATTAATGATATATTTATGATAATATGAATCATAATTTGGAATTAAAATCAGAATTCTAAATGATGATGGAGGTGGGGGAAAATTAGATTTAATACTCAAATGACTCAGACATGAACAGAAAAATATGAAGACGCAAGATAAAAGAAAAGAAGAAAAAATTTCATTTTTTAAAAAGGCACACATTTTACTAATAAGGAAAGCCGTCATTTTTCTAAAAAAAACGTTTTCTCTACATTTTTTAAGACTGACTTTCACCAACCTTGGAGCCTTTTATATACCTCCAAAGAAGTATTTAGCAATTTAAAAATTTATTAAATTATTTCACCCACTCAATATTCGTTTATAATTAAATCCATAACCGCACATTAAGAATTTAAAAAAAATGTATTATCTATACGGCTATGTTCTGATCAGTTACTTCACTGATTTTTCCGTAGTATGGCAAATATAAAATACTATTGTTTATGAAATAAATAATCTCAATTAGCTGAAGGTGGATTACTTAAAGCTGAAATACTTTAGGTGGAAAAAGCCGATGCCTTTATAAATTATGTTTTCCATAAATCACAAGTAAATTAATGAAGGTAATTAAAAGATATTTATTTTGGTAAAGCTTTGAAGTGCTATTTTTATTTCCAAGTTTACTTGCATTTTGAAATATTAAAACACGCATCGTATAATATGTTTTCAATAAATTTTATTTTGACCTAGTTATTTTCATTTAACCAAGCTGCTTAAAATTTTACCTAGTCATAGGCGCGTTATCTTGCGATCGAAATTTAAGTCCTTTACTCACTCAATGAATTTTATTTTGTAGGGAGCTTAGTGTAGGAGAAATAGAAAAATTACTCTCTCAACTTTTAGGACCATCGTCAACAATGACAGCGTCATGTTCAAACAATGGTCATCGTCGAGTCAACTTGGTAGAAGATAAGTGTCCAGACAGTTCGAGCGAAGGTGAACTTAGCGAACATCAAGATAATGATAGTGAAGAGGAAGTCATAAATGAAGAATTTCATATTAGTGGGAGTGAAGATAAATTTTTAAATGAATATGAAAACAATGAGAGCGAAGATGAATTATTTCAAACCTATTTAAGTGAATGTCTGGGCATTCTGGACGATGATGATAATTTCAGTGACTTTCAAAACAATGTGAGCGAAAATGAATTTTGAATCATTTGAAGGAACGTAAACTAAACAGTTTGAATCATACCAAAAAGCTGTTTCATTATTTTTTCAATTCTTCTCTTTTCTGATCAATAAAATTTGAAGATTAAGAATGAAAGAAATATATTTTTAAGAAATGTAATAGGATTCATCAAGATTAATTGCTATGTATTCATGGGATTCATCAAGATAATTGCTATATAGTCATGGGATTCATCAAGATTAATTGCTATATACTCGAGGGATTCATCAAGATTGATTGTTATATACTCATGTCGACCAACTGCTACGGAATTATCTAGCAAATGCAAAAGTTACGAATAAATATTTTTTTTCTTGATTTAATGAACTTGATTTTGTGGAATTTTATTTATAATTGAAAATCCAAATAATTTAAATTTATATGAGAAAAGCCATATAATTAATTAATGAAGATCTTTAAATGCTAGCGGAATTTCTAACTACGAATTACTTTAAAAAATTTATTTTATTCACTTTCAATGATTAAATTAGGTTTCGCAAAACGAGTATATTTTGGCGGTAAGAAATTAAAATTCATCGAAAATAATAAGGTCTATTTATTCAGAAAAAGTACATTTTTGAGTTTGATTTCGTAACTTATAATATAGTCTGCATTAATTAATTAGCATATTTGAGGTCATCCCCTCTCTTTAACTTTAAATCTTAGAACTTGAAAATCCGATCATTAGATTAAAAGTTATTCAGAGTGTTTCATTTTCTTTTGCCGCGCTGTACATCGAACAAGTCAAACTATATTCGAATATCTTTATGAAATAAATTTTTGAACTCAATTGTTTTATATTTTATTTCATGTTGATCTATAATGTTCATTTTGTGTTTATTACTAATCTAGAATTCTACTATTATTTTGTAGGCTAGTAATAATGCCATAAATTGGAGTTTATTGCTAGGCTAGTAATTATACTATTAGTTTGAGTTTATTTCTAGGCTAGTAATTATACTAAAATGCCAAATGTGAGAACACGTTTCGTTTCGAATAATAAATTAAGAAAGAGAATTTAGATAACAATAACAAAAATTTTTGAAAGAAATAACAGAAAGATTTATAATTTTTTTTTTGCATACTATTGTATTGAATTTTTGAAAAATATATTTAATTAATTATATTTCATCAGTGGTCATGATTTTCATTATTTTTTTAAATATTTATAGTAAAATTGTTCGAGAAAAATTAATAACATGGAGTAACGATCCAATATTATGAATTCGATATTATTTTATTTTGTACAATAAGTTAGATACTTAAGATGCAAATTCGTTCTTGGTTTATATGTCTTGATACACGGCGTAATAGTAAATAGTAATGATATTTGAAAATCTCATCAAAAGTTGTTATTGGGTTTATGTTTTTTGAATGAAGGGCATCCATTTTATAGATATTTTGTCTTCATTATTTATGCATAGGTTTGTGTTATATTAATGTGATAGCACAGGACTGTCCAACTGGCGGCCCGCGGGCCGCATTGGGCCCGCCAACACACATTGTGCGGCCCGCCAACTTTTTATTCAGGCTTATCGGCCTCAGTTTTCTCATAAGCAAATTGTTTTATAATCCTTCTGTTCCATTGTTTTATAATTAATAATTCAACTATTAATTGTTATTGTATAAGAGGTAAGAGGGTATTGTTCAACTTTTTCAAACTGTGGCCCGTGGGGTCCTTGCAGTTGGACAGCCCTGTGATAGCATATTCAAGGTATGAGTTTTTTTGTAAAATAATTATTTTTTCATAGTTTTTCTTTTAGAATGATGTTTTCAGCAAATTCAATGATAATTCAGAGAATTCAAAAGATAGTTCAAGGACTTAACAGACGATCAACTGTAGAAGCAGTGTCAGAATTCGGCGAAGCTGACTTACAGATCAATTCAACAGAGAGTGTATTGCAAAGCAATCCAGTCCAGGGAGAATTGCGAAACAATTTGTTTGAGGACGCATTGCAAATCCATCCTGTCGAGGATGAATTGCGAAACAATTTGTTTGAGGATGCATTGCGAATCGATCCATTCGAAGATGAGTTGCGAAACAATTTGTTTGAGGACGCATTGCGAATCGATGCATTCGAAGATGAATTGCAAAACAATTTGTTTGAGGATGCATTGCAAATCGATCCATTCGAAGATGAATTGCGAAGCAATTTGTTTGAGGATGCATTGCGAATCGATCCATTCGAAGATGAATTGAGAAACAATTTGTTTGAGGACGCATTGCGAATCGATCCATTCGAAGATGAATATGAATTTCAATAGAATATGACTACTTCAGTTGAAGTCATAACTTAAGGAGGGTGCAATCTTTTTATTGAATAAAAATTCTATGAAAAGTGACCTTTGAATTGAATATTGAATTATTTCAAGATATACATTACCGAGTGTTCTTAATAAATTTCATTATCTCTAGTAAAATTGCCTTTAAAAATTAGTTTACGCTTACACATCGATTACAAAAGTTATGTTGCATCATAAATGTGTATATTACTTTTGACTTGTCCTTAATAAATGAATGTTTGCTTTTGTGTTGTTATCTTCTTTCTCAAAATTTTCTAAGCCAAGTCGCTCATTGAACTACATTGTTTCTGTCTGGCTTAAAAAAAGCTTAAACGTTTTTTGTTCCAAGAAATATTAAATGCATTTGTACATTTTTGTTTATAAACAGAAATAACGTATTTTAATCAAATCATAACTTCAAACTTATCCAACCATTGTAACTGTCAGATTATTTCCAGTGTATAATCCGCTTTCAGTACTTGGCAATTTGGAAAAAGAACAACGGTAGCATATTATTCGTAGATTAATCATATCGCTTGAAGAAATATAGTTTTAAAGAAGGAAGTATCTGAATTACAAATAAATAATGGAATTGGAGCTGGATTTTTTTAAAAGTTCCATGAATAAACTTGTCACTCATTAAACGTCGTATTTAAATCATTCCAAATAACAATTAACAAATTTTTTTTTAAATTTAAAACCATTTTTAATGAAATACATTTTATCTATTTAGTAATCTGAATTACTACATCAACTACCCTACAAAATTTATCTCCTTCACTATTTAATGTTAGGGACAGCCTCGCAACTTTTTTTCCGACGATTTTTTAAGTTGCGTGAAAAAAGGTAAATATTATTTCTTATAATTCAAAAACATGTAGAGGCGATTTCTCACGTTTGCTTAAGGAAAAAACTTACAACGTTAATTTTAGCACTTTTTAATTTAAATTTTAGAACTAAAATGTGAATCATTAATTGTCAGAACTCGTCTCTTTTCGAATAATAAGTTAAGAAAGAAAATTCAGATAAAAATATTTGAAAGAAATTACATAAAAAGATTTGTTAACATTTTTTGAGTTGCATACATTTGTGTTGAATTTTTGAGAAAAAATATATAATTGAAAATCAGTGGTCGTGTTTTTTAACCTTATTTGTTAAATAATATTTGTAATAAAATTGTTTAAAAAAATTAATAACATGACGTATCGATCCAATATTGTGAATTTGATGTTTTATTTTGTGCAATAATAAGTCAGATACTTCGTTCGTTAGATACTAAACTAATGTAAATTCGTTGTTGGTTTATGTCTTGATTTACGGCGTGTGAAAAACTCATTAAACTTAGTCATTTGATTTATGTTTTCTGAATGAAGAGTATCCATTTTATAGCTATTTTGTCTTATAGAAAGCATTATTTATATTTATGTATTATATTAATGTGGTAGCATATTCAAGATATGTACTTTTGTATAAAATGTTTTATTTCCATAATTTTATCTTGTAGAATCACACCAGAGGTGTTTCAATTTATTCTACAAAGATTTCAAAGACTTTATGGACTATAAATTGTAGAAGCAGTGTCAAAATGTGGCAGAGATGATTTACAGAGTGGGGAATTGCGAAACAATTCGTTTGAAGATGCATTGCAAATCGATCCATTCGAAGATGAATTGTAAAACAATTTGTTTGAGGATGAATATGAATTTCCAATCGATCCAGTTGAAGATGAAAATGAATTTCAATACGGTTCGAATTCATAACTTAAGATGGGTGTAATTTTTTTTATCGAATGAAAATTCTGAGAAGAGATGATTTTTAAATTGAATATTGAATTATTTTAAGCTGTACAGTACCGAGTACTCTAAATAAATGTTAATACGTCTTTTAAAATTGCCTTTAAAAATTAGTTCGTACCCACACATTAATTAAAAAAGTTATGTTGCATCATAAATGTGTATATTCCTTTTCACTTGTCATTAATAAATGAATGTTCTCTTTTGAGTTGTAATCTTCTTTCTCAAAATTTTCTAAACCTAGTCGCACATTTAAAAAAAAATTAAAATGCATTATTTATGTGTGGCTTTAGGAAAAAGCTTTTATGATTTTTGTTCCAACAAATATTAAATGTATTTAAACATTTTTATTTATAAACAGAAATATGGTATTTTAATCAAAATATTAAAGCTTCAAACTTATCTGACCATTGTAACTGTAAAATTATTTCCAGTGTATAATCCGCTTTCAGTACTTGGCAATTTGGAAAAAGAACAGCGATATAGCATATTATCCGTAGATTAGTCATATTGCTTAAAGAAATATAGTTTTAAAGAAGGAAGTATCTGAATTACGAATAAATAATGGAATTGGAGCTAGATTTTTTAAAAGTTCCATCGATACACTTGTCACTCATTAAACGTCGATTTATCTATTTAGTAATCTGAATTACTTTGTATATAAATTCTACTATAGAAGATGTCAGATCTATTTATTACTATTTATAATACCATTATATCGAGCACTGACTATTAGATTTTAACATTATTTCAACTTATTTATTTAAATCCGTAAATTTTGGATTGTTATTAATTTATTTAACAATTTTGGTTTGGTTAATTAGGTTCGGTTTTTTTCTTTGGGAGTGGGGAAGAGTAGCTCGGATAGATGACAGCATCTGGTTGCAATTGAATTATTCACTTATTCTTGTCCGTGTTCTCAACGGTTGGAGGAAGTATATGAAGATAAAGATTTGCTTCTATTGATTCCTTTTTTTTCGTTTACATCATCTTTTAACCTATTTTTTATATACAATTGTTTATTTTCAATGGCGAAAAATTCGTTTGCAAGTGGCAGCAATTTTATTTCTATTTTATGACCGTCATTGAACAGTCGACCCATATTTTTGAGTTTACGACTACCAATGATCAACTCCGTAACCTTGTAATTTTAAATCCAATCCAGAAGACAATTGAACTCCTAGATCAGTATTTCCAGAGGTAATGAGTTGTTATAGGAAATTGGAGGACTTGGTGAATCAAGTATTGAGTCGTAGAACTTTTCTTCGTGATAGAACTTTTTCTTGGAACTAACCACACATTTGCTTAATATGGATAGGAAAACCTCCCACGATTAATCTGTCAGCAAAGTGATAGTAACCCATGAACCATCTACCACTTAACGTCAGCACAGTGGTTAGTGTGGAATTCGAACTCGAGGCATCTCATTGGAAGGCTAGTGCTCTATCCCCTGAGCCAACAAGGCCTTTGCTAGCTTGTTAGTATTGGCAAGTGAAATTAGAAACAACAATGTTCCATAAATTTGAGTTTCGCATCATTTGTGTTATGGATTGCTGTTAACGAGAAAAAAAAGATAATATTGCAGCTGACAATTCTGTATTAGAAATGAAGAGCGGCAGGAAAAAATTACTATACATGTTCAGTTGTTTCCTGGTCGTAAAATTTAACATTTTTGTGATCAAAATTGTGATTGTCACATGAGTATATGCAATGCTGTAGGATCTTTTTCTAGACTCCCGGTGACTGAGTGAACACAGGTTCGAACTAGACTTAGATTTTAGTTTTATAACCATCGTTGAACAGCAGACCCAATTTTGGGTTTACGACTACTAATGTTCAACTCAGTTTGTAATTTTAAACCCAATCCAGAAGACAAGTATTGGGAGAAATTTGTCCTCGTTTTGATGGAACTAACCCGTATTTGCACATAACGGGGAGGAAAACCACAAGACTTCCCATGGTTTGCCTAACGGGGACTCTAACCCATGATCCGTCTACCACTGAAGATATTTTACATTACCTACATTGTGGTCGATGCTAGCCAAGGGCGGATTTCGTATCGACTAGCCATCGCTGAGATTTGAACCCTGTTTACCTCATTGGATGGTGAACGCTCTATCTCCTGAGCCACCACGGTTCAACTGGATACAATTGCCTCAGCTTTTCATCCCGTCATTGGGTTGATAAGATCAGTTACAACATGCTTGGGGACTAAACACCAGGGGTTCTGCTTTTAGCTAACCATCTAATTGGGACATCTGCTCGTGACGTTTCAGAGCCTAAGGTTAAGAAAACTGATGTGGCCATAAGAAGCGCTGTCGAGCTACTGTTAGTATCTAGTCGTTAAGAATCTTTTTTTTTTTTTAAACAGTCTAATGCTTATATTATGAAGCTGACAACAACCCACATCTTGAGAAAATGAAATTGATTGTCGTATTAAGAAAATTCATCTAAATCATTTCAAGATGGTTGAAAAAAGTGTGAGTTCGTGTCTGAAAAACCATAGAGCCATGGATAAGGTTCCTGTATGGAATAGCATATTATGTCCATTGAACATGTTATACTATTCAATACACATAATATACACTCCATGAATTAATAAAACCTGAGTTTTCCGTAATAGTCACTTACAGGACTTTTGGAACACTATGCAAATATAGGTCAATACGATCTGGCATTCCAAAAATAAATAAGAATGACTTGGATGTGCAACTTACTAATTGTAATTATTTTCAGCTTTTTTTTCAGCAGCTGTTACTTTTTTGCTAGTTTTACTGTGCTACTTTAAATACAATCTCTATCATTGATATTGTGTAATTTATAGTAAAAATATTTTTTTTTGTATGTTTATCAATTTTATACAAGTTCAAAAATGAATAAAATTCTTTATAAGACTTACTTTCTTTCTTCCATAAATATCGGCAATAATTCCTAAAACTGGACTTCCCAACATTATGCCAGTAAAAACAACCTGTAAAATAAAGTTTTATATTATAATTAAAACTTGTTTTTGTATCAGGTGTTTAAGCATTCAGCGCTTTCACTACGTATATTTGTGAAAATCGACATCAAATTTGTTTAATCGCATGGTTGGTTAAAAAAATGTCAGAACATTAAAGCCTGTTTGATTGCCTAAAAAACAGAAAGCATCTTAAAATATCTTCCGGCAGTCTAACAAGATTTGATGTCTTTCATCCTAAATAGTGTTTTCGATCTTTTTTCCTTGCGTAAATATTCTTCTGTGACTTCATTTCTGAAAGAGGTTTTAAAAATATATATTAAGGATGGTGATTGTGGAACATCCTTTTTTAGTCGTACCTTACTTTTTAATCTAATTATTTTTAGCAGCCATAAGCTAATAATTAATTAGCATTCAGTAAGTTTTTTAGTTATCTGTCATCAATTACAATATGTCTTATAAATTTGAAATATTTTGAATTATATTTAACACACACTTGTAATTAAATTGATTTTTATCATAGAATTAAAATAAGTTGGTGAAGAAATAATAATTTGTTGAATACTACATTTCTGGTTTCTTTCAATGAGAGGATATAAACTGGATCCAAGAAAAATAATCTTTTTGCAATGAGATTTTTTTACGCTAAAATTTAATTAAACATTTGAATTAATTTGCAGAGAATTTTAATTGTTGCCTATTAATAGTAGGACTAAGTAAACGCCAATTTTAAGGTTTAATTTCTTTGAGCACTACGTATTATAATAAAAGTTATATTACGTTTTACGTTACAAAATTTTGAGAAATAAAATTAATATTCAAAATCTAGAAATTGATGAGAAAGTTATAGAAAAGTAGTTATATTATAGTAATATTACGAATTAGTTTGATTTTTTTAACCTTATAATAACCTAGCTATATCCCTCCTTTTCTTTTTACTGAACTACCTTTCATCCAAATAATAATAAATAAATAAAAAATGCACATACCGTATATTTCTGAGTGTAGGCCAAGGATTTTTGAAAAATTTTCGAAAGCTAAGAAGGAAGGACTATAAACAATTATATTCATTAATGCCGCAAAATTCCCCACGAACATCGCTGACAAAAATTCTTTTCCGTTGGTCGAACAAATTGGTTAGTTAGTATCAAATTCCTAAATATAGCCAAACAGCATTTGAAATATATAAATTTATTAAATAAGAGTTGAAAATGAAACGTCTAAAACTTACCATTAAAAAAGAAACACATAAAAAAGACTACAAGAAAGGAATATTTTTTTCCGCATTCGCGATCACTTGTATAGTTAGTCTACGGTAAGAACTCCTCCCGCCACAAATTCTGAGCCGTCTGCTGCTATGGATACAAGAATAGCGCATTTCAGGAAGGGTAGTTCCTCTTCACTTTAAGGCTAGCACAACAGATCGAAGAAAATGATTTCCTTTCTTTCTCCAAACCGAGCCAAAACCTGCCCTAAACAATAACCCCACACCCCTACTTGAAATATTTATACCAAAGTTACTGCCGCGGATCCAGACGAAGGGCTAGCGGAGTTCTTATAGTTTGTCTAAAGTAAGAACTCCCATAGCCATTCGTCCGGACCCGTAGCGGTGACTATGGTAACAATGTATAACTTTTTCAAGTAGGGGTGTGGGGTCATTGATTTTGTCAGGTTTAGGCTCAGGTCGGCCAGAGAAAGGGAATATTTTTATTCGGTCTATTGTGTTAGCCCTAGAGTGAAGAGAAGCTACCCTTCCTGAAATGCGAATATTCTTGTTTCCATAACAGCAGACGGCCTCAGACTTAGCGGAGGAGGGAGTTCTTACCGTAGACAAACTATAGCTTAAAACTTTTTGTATATTTTCTTTTTAATGCCCATCTCTTCTCTCATAAAACTGCAAACGATCAGAAAAAGTTAAAAGTGCTATCTTAAAAACAACGGTAATGTAATATATAAATGTATAATAGTTTGTTTACTTTTGTTCGCTAGTCCAGAAAATTATCCACAAAGATAACTTGTTTTATTTTACACTCAAGCTTTGTATTCCGGGTAAATTTTCAAAGAATAAGCGCCTTCTCTGTTTATACACGTATGAGGACGTGTATAAACCGAGTATAAGGACGTGTATTATGACGTTCGGAAATATACGGTAATCAACATTCAATCTTAGTTTATAAAATATTTTTTACTGATGTTAGTAGAGCTATGTGCCACCTGTAGAGATTCCATTCACAAGCCATAAGATCTCCAATAATGGACAAAATGAATATTTCAAATGCATCAGCCAGCTGCAATAAATAAAACAATAATAAGTAATGTATAACTAATAAACTCTTCATTTAAACCTTAAGAGATTCAGCCTTATATGCATGTACGGTACGGCACTCTCATTTACGTCGCACTAAAGCTGCACGATGAGCTAAAGGCGACGGTCTAGGAAACAAACCTGAGGATGATCCGGAGATAACGTGCATATACGTCACATCCCGTTTTACAGGGAGGCCACATTCACGCCATCCATAGATCATAATTTTGATCTGAAACAAAGCACGATCCATCTCCAATCCAGTGCCCCCAGATGTATTGATTTGTTATTGGAACTTGGAGGACTTTGTAACTCTGACAGATTAAGCGTGCACTAGTCCCCATTTTGTACACGGGTAGTCTTCAGGCGGTGGAGATCGAACTGACGATCTCTCGAACATAGGCCTCCATTATATGTTTGTGATTATGAGTTAAATATTTTTCAATTATGCTTTACTTTATACAAATTATCTTTTTTAGAAAAGGCACATGAACATCACAAGTTGCGTTTACTGAAAACACTTATTCATAGTGACCACAGACAGTCAGAAAAAAGTTATCAAATTTCCTTGATTTATTGTGACCAGTGGCAAATATTTTAGTATTTATTGTTCAGTAACACCCTATTCATATGCATAAGCCTTACCAAACACTTGCGCTAGTCACTGGAGTTGAAAACAAAAAAAAATTTTAATAAAAAAAAGGAAAAAAACAGTATCTGTAAAAAAAATATCAGACTTTAAGGTACCACCCAATAATTCTTGTTTATTCTTTTTATTTTTTAAAATCTTTTATTCATTTATTTATTATTTTTTTTGTTGTATTTATTTAAATTTCCTGACTTTTTTTTTCTTCCTTGATAGAATCCCCTGTCTGTTGTGGGTTTTTCCTGATTTTCCCTTCTTCTGTGGCTACATTGTTATTGATTCATTGTCTGATCAGGTAAAATAAAATCAAAAATAATAACAATGAATACACAAAAAGAATTTTAAAAATTATGAGAGAATTTTAGACTTGCAAATAACAAAGGTAACGGAAAAAAGGTTCTTCGCGGAAAGTCCATTTCCTAGCAATCTTGGGTAAGAAATGTGTTTCGTATACGAATAAGAAATATGTTAATACGCATATACGTCTTATTAGAAATAGATAACATTTTATCTAAACAGTAAATTATTTGAGGAAATATTTTCCAAAAAGCGGATTCTTTGATTTAAATTCCCATAAATACTGGAGAGTGTTCCTTCATTAGTATATTTGTCATCAGTAGCACAAGTATATTCAAGTAATCTCAGCTTTTAATTTTTATTCAAATTTGTTCTAGCATTGAGAAATCCATCCATTGATCTTGAACAAAAAATCAATCTTTAGCAACTGATAGATTGATCTTGAATGAAAACAAATAGAAAAATTTATTTTTTTAGAACACCAATCAAATCGAAAGTTTCGTTCATCGCCTTTTTAACAAACCTTTGAAGTCAAATTTAAGGTTAAAGTACAAATATAAAATGTGCAATTTGATATTTACACATCAAGAAGAAGATCACAGTTACCCACACATGTGACCTATGACGTCAGTGTCAGCTGATCGCTTTTAATCAAAATGGCGAGTTAAAGTAAAGCTAAGTTTCTCCACATAAGTTAGAATGTTAATTTACATTACGTTAATTAAATACAGCACATCACATCGAATTTGCTGAAATATAATTCTTTCTCGTCTGCGTCTTTTACTTAGCTTAGATTTATTATTTCTTTACATATTTTATTGTAAGCATGATGTATTTTTGCTTTGTGTACCTGGCAACTTCGATGCATAATTAGTTTGTTTATGCTCTACATGGTTTCGTGCCTGTCTTTGTGTTCACTAAGAAATGTATGGTGAAAGAATTGAAATATTTATATAAGAATTATTGTGAAAGAATATAGAATGTGTCACATTAGAGAATTGATTCTTGTTGAGCTTGATTTACTCAAAATTGAAAAGAAAAAACAGTTGCTAACGCAAATAAATTCCAAGGTTCAACAAACAATCCAGATCGAGGTACCCACAATAATCACTTGCAAGTATCTCATTAACCTGCAAATTATGCCCATCCAAATAATTATTGTTTAGTTTAAAAGTTTATTTAAAACAGGATGGCCACAACCGAGAAAAATGTAAAAATCAGGGAACAAATGGGGGGATGCTTCATGAAGCTGCTCGAAATTTTAAAATTTTTTTTTAGGAAATAAAATGGTCAGTTTCAACACACACATACACAAGCATACTATATATTTATTATTTTATAACCAGCTTTGAACAGCTAATCCAATTCGTTTACGTTCGTTAATCCAATTCGATATCAATGTTCAAATTTCATAGCTTTGTAAGTTTGAACCAAATCTAGAAGTCAAGTGAACTCCTGAATTAAGCATTGGGATTAAATAGTCTTCATGGCTGACAGTTTGATAGAAATAATCCGCGTTTGCGTTTCACAGAGCGGTAAACCACGAAAACATCCCACGGTTAGATTTAATTCTAATCCATGATCCGTCTACCACTGATTATATTTTACAACAGCACTGTGATCGGTGCTAGTTGGGCAACGTTCGTACCACCCAGCCACCGCTGGGTTTCGAACCTCTGGCTCATTTAATTTTAGGCGAACGCTCTCTTCCCTGAGACTCCAGGGTTCTGTTTTAATTTATTAATAAATTTCAGTGGATAGGAATTTGGAAAAATAATTTGTTAATCCAATCTTTCTCTACCACTCGAACAATTTTTGCCTGTTGTTGGCCTCCATAAAAAACGCCCTATGCATACAAAAATAAATAAATAATTTGGTTTCTTTATTGCCAAATTTTTCCTGAAAACCCTATTACTATAACCAGAGGATCTGATTATCGCTTAGGCTCAATAGGCATAGTCATAAAAATTATTATTATTAATATGTTTTTAGAAATAAATATAAATGAACTAAACTTAAAAATAAATACATAACAACAATTTATTAACTCTCTGCCTAGGCACCTAATAGTTCTTTTTTATTATCATGAAATTTTAGAATTTATTGAAACTTTTTTTAACAAAGAAAAATAACATCTATTTGGCTGCTTTCAAAATTTTGCAAAATACTTCCAACTAAAAAATGTTGCTATATACTATTATTTGATCGAAAGGAAAACGTTTAGGAAAAACTTGATAGCCAATGCGTGTTTTTTTTTTCATGTTAGTATTATTGTTGTTTCTATTACCTACTTGCCATACCGGCAAGCCTGCTTGGGAAACCTAGCAAATTTAAGCGTTTCTTGTTTTTCAGTGACGCTATCTATGACTTAGAATACTATTTCTCCCACACTTACGTCACAGCCCGTTTTACCGAGTGGACTTATTTATACATCCATTCATTCGTCCACAGATCGTAATTTTGACCTTAACCAGAGAACGATTAATCTCCAATTCATTACCTTCAGAGGTATGGATTTGTTATGGAAATGTGGAGGACTTTGTGACCTCCACATTCCCACGTTAGGATTGTACATATCAGTATGTGAATTTCAATATATTTAGTGAGGGGCCCCTTATTTGTCATGATTGGTGTCGGACTATAACCCATGACTAGAAAATGAATGTGAAGCTGCTTAAAATATCGAAATTTGATTCAAAACAAAGTTTTAAAAAAATTGTATGAATGACTATAAAATCTTTCACTACAATGCACAATTGAAAATTATTTATCTGATGTAGCAGTTTCAATGAAGCGCGACACGTTACATTCTTCTTAAATGACGCGATTATTTGTCATTTTTCAAGGTTTATTTGATTTTTATTTATCTTTTGATGTTTTCGATGTCCAAAAATAGTTTATTGGGTCATTATACTACCACATCTGAAAACATTTGAAATTATATTTTCCCAAATAAAAATGACTTTATATAAGAAGTCCTTTTTTTTTTTGAAAAATTCCATGTTGTTTTTTAGAAACTTGAAATAATATTTTTTTTTGTAATTTCGCTTTTTTGTAAATTTTTTTTTTAGTATTGTAGTTTTTTGTACCTTTCTTTAACGAGTTATTTAAATTTGTTAAATTAACCTTGAATCTAGTTCTGAATGTGTTTTTGGTGTTTTGATGAGCTGAAAATGAATCAAATGAGCTGAATTACATAGTTTTCAAAAAAAAAAACTCTTATAAACGTTGCGAATAAATAATCGAAACATAATTCTTTATTCTTGAATTAGGTCATTTTTGAAATTGAAAAGTTCGACGAGAAATACTGATGCAATTTTTTATAAATGTTGCTTTTTTTACAGGTATTTTACTTAAATAATTTCATAAAAATAACCAAATTATCAAAAAAATTACGGTTTATTGTTTTGTTATTAATATAGTTACAAGTTTCAAAAATTATTATTGATTTAAGAAAATTTAAACTCTTGGAAACCCTGTGATCCTTCCACGGAACCCCATGGTTCGGCGGAACATCACTTGGAAACCAATGTCTTAAATAAAGGCTTATTTTTTTAATTGAAAAACTCATAAAAATTATTTATACGTTTTTCAGTTATTACGTATTTAAGAAGATTGCTATTATTGATAGACAAACTTATTATTGATAGTATTTTACTTACAATTGATTAAAAAAAAATACTTACCCATCCTAATCCAGCCAAGATTGTTAATTTGATTTGAAACTTCCCATAGCCTGCTTTGCTCACAGCGTCATCAACGGAATACAACACACCTTAAATTAAAAAAATACACTGAATTAAATTATAATAATTTTAGAAAAAAACGCGTTAAATATCATCATATCTTAACTTTCATCCGTGGTGGATCTGGGGACAGAGGACCCCGATTTGAATCTAGATTGTTGATAAGAATTCTGCTTTCAACTCGCACCAACCACTATAATGACGTAAAATATCCTCAAAGTTAAACTGTTCAAGGGTTAGAATCTCCTTGCCGTCGGGCTAACATTGGGAGGTTTACGAGGTTTTCCTCTCCATTTAACTCAAATACTGGTAAATTCCATCACAAAGTCCTCAAGGAAGTCAAATTTCTCCTTGATTCAGGAGTTCCCTTGATTTCTGGATAGGGTTAAAATCGCAATTACGGCAAACGTCATTATGTCTTAACTTTGCATAACTTTGAATAACTTTAAAATTGCATAATTGACGGGTTGGAGATATATTTTTCTCTAAGAGAAAAATATATTTAATTCAACTACATAACAGTTAAATTTAGCTGTCAGCTTTCTTTCCCTACATGTTTTCGAAACTTAATTATGGAAGATATATCTGGATTTAATTATAAAGATATCTGGAATTTATTATACAGAACATCTGTTTGCTTTCAGATTAGGAGGGGGGGGAAATTACAAGATAAATGTTTTTAGATCTCCTAATTCGAAAACGTACTCTATTAAACTGTTTATCAATTATACATTAAATTCTAAATCTTTAATAAAATTTATTTTCTTCTTCTTTTACGGAGCTCATTATATACTTGTTATTTTGACTTTTCGATATTAGGAGACAAAATAATAGTTCTGAAAACTTCGAGTTTCTAAGCGATTTACGGGGTTATGCGAAAATCGTATAGGTCAGGATCATGTCTAAAATTCAGAGTTTTCATCGCCAAGCGTTTCCATTATTTTGTCCACCCCCTGTGCCTTATCTTAGATTGGTTTACTTGCAGTTATAAACCAGAATTTATAAAATCAATAATTTATTAAAACAGGGGTTCAAATTTATAGTCATTGGTTTACAGTAGGTGAAGGGGAAATTTTGAAAATATTACCGTTCTTAATCAAATTAATTTTAGGTAATGAGCTAAATTCTTTTTATAAAATCTCATTCGCAAAATATTTTAACATAAAACTCCAGAAAAAAGTGTCTCTATAAAGGCGTTAATATGTATGTTAAAAGGTTGATTAATAGTAATAAAAAAAATCAGTAAAGCCGCAACCAGTGGTCGGAAGAAGCGCGCTTCAAGTAGCGGAACTACTGTAATTGCTACTATTTTTCGTATTTTGTAGTGTAGTGTGCTACTTCTTAAAAGAAGTACTGTAGTGTGTAATGCAATACGAATAAAACAGTAGTTTGTAGCGATTTCTGGCAACTATTTTTAAAGTTGAGTAAAGAAACAAAGTCTAAAGTCATTTGAAAAAAAATTATTTAATTTTTAGAGAATATGGTCATACTTAGAAATAATGAAATACAGGAAGGAAGTCCCTCATATGGATCAAGAGAATCATTCTCTTAACATCAAGAATTTTGACGTTAAGATAAAAATTCTTAACATCAAGATAAAAATTCTACGGTAGGTGGTAATTTTTTGGACACCTGGTATATCATGTTGCACTTGAATCTTACTTAACGCTTTCATCTCGGCAATGTCCTGCATGCCTTTGTCCCACCCTCTGCGATTAGAGTCCCCCTGCAGCACCAAACTTGAAACAAAAGGCAAATTCCAACTTTGTTTACTTTACTTTTAAAAAAATAATAATCAATTGCAATCGATAATCATATTCATTAATACAACAACGAATATTTTTCAGAGGACGAGTTAGCTCGTCCGTCACGATGAAAGAGTTCAGGTAAATTTTCAATAAAACGGGAAAGCATCGCTTCCAATTGATATACGCGTTTTTTTCTCATTTTAAAATTTTATTAATTTTTACGCGAACAAATATTTATTTTGAAATTTAATATGTCATGTGATCCTTCCATGTTCCTCACGTGAACATGAAACCTTCTTTCTCGGGTTTTCGTCCATTGTTTAAACAACAACATATTCTTCTTTACGATTCTAGAAATCTCCATCTTTGAACAACTTATAACATTAAAGGCTTTAAGTGTTTATTTAAAAAGATCGTCTAAAGGAAATATCATTTATAGTTTACGGTGCATTCAACTAAATAAATGTCTCTAACATTTTTATTTACAAATAAAAATGTAGTTTTCAACTTTTGGACAAATTATTGTTTTTTTTCCCCAACGAATAATCGGGTTATTTAAAATTCTTTAAGCCAGATAAGCTTTCTGAATTTGATGACCCCATTTTCGCGCTGATAAATATTAAAATGAAATGCGTTCATTTTAGACTAGAGGAGACTTAACTTTAGAAGAAGGGTAATAAATTTAGAGGAAGAGTATGGTAGTTTTGTAATTTTAAATCTTACCCAGAAAACATGAGGACTCCTTAATAATTCATTACTACAGANCATAAATGTACATATTTTTCCATAATTAGAGCCCTTATTATATATTTTTTGTAACCTTTAGCAAAACTGAGTTAAAAAAATTACAAACTTTACTCTTCGAACTTAATACTTCAACAAAGAAAAAAGCAAAACGCTCATCAAAAATGAGAAATCGCAAAAAAGGAAATAGAGATATATTCCACATAAAAACCTGATTGATTTCCTAAAAAAATGGAAATGGTTATTTGTGCAAGGATGTTTTTAGAAACATTTACAACTTTCAATAGACAATCACACAGGCTGTGGTATTTTAACAAAGAAAAACAAAAAAGTTCTCGAAAAAATTCGATTTATTAGAGAGAAAGTCGATTGTTGTGATTGAAAACATCGAAATGACCTCTTTTGTCTGATGTTTCACTTTTGACAAGGGTTCTTAAAAATATATTAAATTTTAATTTTAATGAAATATTAAAATTTTATTTTCATTTATTTCTCTACAATGATTTGACTCAAGTTAATTTCGTTGCAATACAAAGAAGAAAAACCATTCTATATCGGTAATACTCAGAATTTTTGTCGAAATCGTCAATGTCATCCAAAAAAGTTTTACGAGATTTAGTCTTCTTCGGTGAATGTAATATATTATCCCTTTTATATTCCTTAATAATTCTGAAAACAGAAGCTGTGCTAACTCCCGATGCAGAAACCGCATGGTCAGCCACATCAATGATTGGAACATCTGGTTTTGAATGCACTTCTGATTTATAAATGTTAAATATAATTTCCTTCTCAGCTTTACTTATGTAAGATTTCTTCTGCTGTTTTTTAGGAGGACTTAAATCTATCACTTCATTTTCCATATTGCTCATGAAACACCTGCAATAAGACACCACGGCGAAACAAACAACCCTATAAGAAATATGAGTTTTTGCTTGACTGATAGGCGCTATTTGTCATTAATCAGGCGCCAAGCAGGCAACGGTATTGCGCCAAATAGCACGCCCCTTTGTTTACTTTCACTATCAGTTCTCGTTGAAGAATATTCTAGCCGTAGCAGATACATTCTAATTTTGTTATGAAGGAGGGATATTTATCCCTGAAAAATAAACAAATTCATTTGAAAAAAAATTATTATTTAGAGAATATGGCCATACTTAGAAATAATGAAATGCAGAAAGGAAGTCCTTCATATGGATCAAGAGAATAATTCTCTTAACATCAAGAATTTCAACGTTAAGATAAAAATTCTTAACATCAAGATAAAAATTCCACGGTTGTGGCTGAGTGGCCGAAGCACCCCTCCTTCGAAATGATTTTTTAAATAGGTGGTCATTTTTTGGACACCTGGTATATCATGTTGCACTTGAATTTTATTTAACACTTTCATCTTGGCAATGGCATGCATGCCTTTATCCCACCCTCTGACTTTAGAGTTCCACTCACAGCACCAAACTTGAAACAAAATGCAAATTCCTTTAAAAGTTGTTTACTTTACTTTTAAAAAAATAATAATCAATTGCAATCGATAGTCATATTCATTAATACAACAACGAATATTTTTCAGAGGACGAGTTAGCTTGTCCATTAGGATGAAGAGTTAAGTTTAATTTTCAATAAAACTGGAAAGCGTCGCTTCCAATTGACATACTAGTTTTTTTTCTCATCTTAAAATTATTTCCTTTATTTTTTACGCGAACAAATATTTATTTTGAAATTTAATATTTCATGTGATTCTTACATGTTTCTCACGTGAACATAAAACCTCCTTTCTCAGTTTTTCTTCCATTGTTTAAACAAAAACAGATTTTTCGTTACGATTCCAGAAATTTCTATCTTTGAGCAACTTACAACATTAAAGGCTTTAAGTGTTTATTTAAAAAGATCGTCTAAATGAAATATCATTTATAGTTTACGGTGCATTCAACTAAATAAATGTCTCTAACATTTTTATTTACAAATAAAAATGTAAGTTTTCAACTTTTGGACAAATTATTATTGTTTTTCCCCCCACGAATAATCAGGTTATTTAAATTTATTTAAGCCAGATAAGCTTTCTGAATTTTATGATCGCATTTTAGCGCTGATAAATATTAAAATGAAATGCTTTCATTGTAGACTAGAGGAGACTTAACTTGAGAAGAAGGGTCATAAATGTAGAGGAACAGTATGGTAGTTTTGTAATTTTAAATCTTATCCAGAAAACATGAGGACTCCTTAATAATTCATTACTACAGATTAACCGTCGTGGAGGGCTTTTTGGTGCAATTTGCGTTACATAGAAAAAAAACCACGAAAAACTCAACTCCCAGGGCTAGCCCGATGTCAGAGATTCTATTTTATTTTATAACCGCCTTTGAAGAGCCGACCCAATTTTGAGTTTATGACTATCAATGTTCAACTTCGTAGCCTTGTAATTTTGAACCCAATCCAGAAGACAATGGAAAACCCTGGATCGTGGGTTAGAACCCATGATCCGTCTACCACTGAGGATATTTTTCGAACCCGCTTCACCGTACTGAAAGGCGAACGCTCTATGC